AGGACATTATGTTCCCCCAACAGGATGACTACTGGAGTCACTCCTGATGACTTCTGCCATCAACACTGCATTTTTTAGGAGTTTGATTTTCACTCCAGGGAAAGAATTTGATCTCGATTTTTCCGCTATGAAAGGAAGTTGCAGTTTTATAATATATTCCACATGGGGTAAATTATAGAGTTGTCTGTGTCTATATGTCTTATGTCTGTATGACTTTCCTTTTGTGCCTAATTGTCTTAGCTGCTAGAGGATATAAAATTAGTATAGGTGGTGACTATAAATTTTTTGGACTCAAAAATGTAATGGGAACTGGCACAAATATTGTAAGCAACATAATCCACTGTACTTTTTGGTTAATGGGAACTAATTTGTAATCTAATGGGTTGTTTTAAAACATGTGCCAATAAGACTGTATTGGCTATAATTTTTTTCTCTTCTTTCTGGGTTGTTGATATTGGGTACACAATGTTTCCAGTGATGTGATCACAGGCACTTTGGCTCTTTAAATATGAAAGGAATTTTTGGCTTAAAGCTACAAGGACATAGATATACAAGTAACAAAATTAAATACCGAAGCAATTAGAGCTCCCTCCCAATTCTTTAAATGATGAAGTTGAGCTTTGGGCTGTCTGTCCCTAGAGGGCAGGGAGCACTTCCTGGGTTGGCAGGGAGCACTCATTTGTCCCCCTCTGACTCCCTGCACAGTGAGATATCTGGACTGTCCTTCAACTCCCAGCTGCTCATCCACCTTAATTCTGTAACGATCACAGAGACCTAGAACATCCCCAGGGCAACAACTGTTTTTGTTGACCCTGATGAAGACAGCCCCTCGGGCCTGGTGAAGGGGGAACACTGTTCAGGGTTAGCCTGAACAAGAAGCTGCTGATAGATTTCATGGTCAATATAGCGGGTTTGTGAGTCCAGAGCCACTCCCTCTACCTCTGGGATTTCTAGCAGCTGGCTGACACCCCCACTGGCTCTCTGCATTGTGGTTGTGGGGTCAGAGCCACACTGCTGGTGACCAGATGTTTTGGTGACTATCCTCTCCCTTCAAGATTTCTCAAAAGGTAGGAACAGCTATGCAATGAACACCACTTGTGTGGTACTTTATCATTTAAAAAATACATTCACATTGACTTTGTCTCTACATGTAAGGTAGTTTGGGCAGGAACTATAGTCTCAGTCCATATTTATGGAAAAACTATTCCCCAGCAACAGCAGCTGATTTGCTTTAGCTCAGTCAGCTGCACCTGGGGCTTAAACATCTCTCTACCGATCCCTGGCTCCCACGCTGTCTTCACGACCCTGGTGCCTAACTTTGTTGGTGATTGCGGCCACCTCAACTGGTGATACAGGGTTCACAGAGCACGGCCCTAAGCAAGCTACAGAGGCCCAGGAGAAAGGGTGTTTTTTGCAAAGCCTGTTTCAATAACCATTCATGTGGACCTGGCTGCCTCTGCCCTAAAAGGCCCCCTTATTCTAATAACTGGTACAAAGCCATTGCATGGACTTGTGGTGGTCTTGTAAATAAAATGGGATTCCTGAGCCCCAGGACGTGATAGTTTTGCAAAATATGATTAGGAGATCTTGAGTTCACCTTAAAATGATCAGCTTATGAGCTCATGAGAGAAGCTTGGGAGATTTAACTTAATCTGTGTTCTCTTTGCCACACCCAGGTATAAGAATTGGAAAATGAGTCGAAGCGGGAACCAAGGCTTTAAAGAGGGCCCACAAATACGAACATCAAGAAAATGACTTACCAGGTAGAGGGCTCACAAACCTGAGCAAGTGCTGAGCACCAGACCCGCTCAGAAGCGGCAATGGAGCCTAACACAGATGTCTGTTGGCAGGCTGAGGATGGCAAGAATAGCATCAGGCTCCAGGACCTGGTAGACAACGTGGGCCAGAGTGAAAGCTTACGAGAGGCAAGCAAAGGAGGCTATAAATCCGGAAGATTCCTGGGACCACCGTGGGCCCACACCAGTCGGAAGGATCTCCTGACCCTGAGCCAGAGTACATTCCTATTTCCAGAGCTCAAGGTCTGAGTCTGCATGTGGTCTATAAAGCTTGCCTCACCCCACATGGCCCAGAACACTCCAACGCCCACCCCCACCTCAGCTTACCTTACCGAACCCTATCCCTAAACCTCCTGACTCACTCCCCACTCCTCAGAACATCTTGGTCCACACTCCCAGCGTTAGCCTTGCCTTATCCACTCCCTCACCATGTTGGCTCACTCTCCAGCCCCCCGTAGACAACTCCCCCTAATCCACATCATCCCTCTACACCATGTCTTCCTAGTCCCCAGTCCCCTAGCCTGCCTCTGCCCTACCTAACTCCCATTGCTCTTTTCCATCATGGGGTCTCTGGATTAGGCAGGTGAAACCAATGAGGATGAAATGGACTAGGCTGAAACCAATATTTCCTTAAGTACCTTCTAGGATCACCAGGTCTGAGGGAATGTTGTCGCAGAAACTGAATAGAGGGAGGTGGGCAAGGAAGAAAGTGACATTTTTTTCCTTCTTTTTAGAAAATAATAGTTGGGAAATCTCTGGATTAAATGCAGTTTAACTCATCATTTTACTCTGATCTTTGTAGGAAACACATTACTGAATCTTCAAAATGGAAGAGGTATTCTAAACAATAGTGTGTCCCATTCTTATGGACCTGGGATTAATGTTCTGAGGAACAAAATTTGGGAGACCTTGTTATAGATGAAGGGTAAAGCATATGGCTTTTCTCCTCCTCAGTTTTGCTCCCTGACTGGGAGACTAGCAGCTCAGTTTCCACAGGGAAGCAGATCTGAACTGGTTAAACCTGGAGGGCTGGGGATTTGTGCCCAGAGCATTACCATATTTGCAGGAGAGCTAGAAGCCTTTAGTCAGATGTTCTTATGTCATCTGCAAGAGCTCCCTACAATGACCAGGCCACAGGCAGAAGATCCTGGTCAGTCCTTTTTTTTTTTTTTTTTTTAAAGATTTATTTATTTATGCTTACAGAACTGGAGTACAGGCTAAAAGTGTGGGGAGAGAATGAGAGGATTCACCAGAGACAGAGTGGAGAGCAGAACAGGCTGATTGATTGAAATACACTGCTGAGGGGAGCAGCTGGCAGGACAGGAGGTCTGCTATACAATGTAGGTCAGCCCCCCGGCTGGGGATTGAACTCATGCTGCAGTGGCTGCAGATAGCTTCATAATGCTGTGCTTTAACCCACTGCACCATGAGGGAGAGCCCAGGCACAGTCTTTTAAGGACTGGGTCACTGGCCGCTGATACTTCCAGGTATCTTGGGAGGACTGAGGATTCAAGTCTCCTCCAGATACCTCTGATGAGAGAGATAGAATGAAGGAGTGTGTCAGGAGAAAATGAAGGAGTCCTAGGTTATCTGGGCAGGAGCTGGGAGTGTGAAACCCTTACCCTTGGATAGCATTACTAACACTTTCCCTCTTCTGCCATCCAAAGTCAGGACTCATGCTTTCCTGTGTCCACAGCTCCCCTGGGGTTTCAGGGCCCTGGAGCTTCAGAGCCAGAATGAGATGCTTCCAGAGCCTCATGCTCCCCTCCACCTTCCACTCAGGAGGAGCAGGCCAGCACACAGCTGTCCAGGTGTCAGAGGGTCCAGCACAAGTTGGAGGAGGCCAAGAAGAGAGCAGATATTGTGAGCCAAGAGCCATGAGAGAATGAATAGTTAAGGTTCTTTGCTTAACCTTAGTTAATAGTTAAGCTTAGGTCAGGAGTCTGCATGGGAGAGGAGCTATAAAGGACCTCCCTGGTACCATTTCACTGACAAAAATAGCTTAAAATTGAATATCAGGACAATTTCAAAGCTAGATGCTGGTTGTGGCTTGAGGTGGTTAGTTGTGATTAACGCTTTAAGAAATATGATTAATAAGACCCACGTTAAGCTGGTGGAAAGGCAGGTGGAACAAGATCAGTCACACTGATAACTTCTCAGGCTAGATGATGTCTATAGTGGGAGTCTGCATTTTTTACATGCTGAATATTTTCCAAGCTTTAAAAGGAAAGCTAGAATTAAAAAAAAAAAATGTAGAAAAGACTATAAAGCATCTGGTAGCTTTACAAAGAACAGGAAGTTTAAAAACCAAAGCATGTACTGTAACTGAGACAGCTTATATGATGGTATTCCCAAATTTGGGGGGAAGGGAGAAGTCTTAGTGCCTAGGGTTGCTGTTTTTTTTAAGCCCAGTTTAAATGAAGACTGAAGATTTGGGGATGGCAGAGTTGCGAGCTCTTCCACCCTTACTATGCTTAGGCACTGTCTGTCTTTTCCTTGGGATGGTGAATGTCATAAAAACATCAGTTGTCGGGCCCTCCCTGGTGGCGCAGCGGGTTAAAGCACTGCACTGAGAATCTAAAGCCGCTTCCGCATGAGTTCGTTCCCGCCTGTCCCGGAGGTGACCACATGGCGCGGCAGACCTCTCCTGACCCGCCCGCTGCTCCCCTCAGCAGTGTACTTCGTCCATCTGCCTGTTCTGCTCCCCACTCTGTCTCTGGTGAAGCCTCTGGCCGCCCCTGAGTCTCTGGCCTGTACCCCAGTTCTGTATGCACAAATAAATAAATAAATCTTAAAAAACAAAAAAACAAAAAAAAATCAGTTGTCTTGTTCATCACTCAAAGCCCAGCACCCGGCCTGGCACCCAGCACATAGTATGTCTCTTCACATTTGCAAGTGTGCATGTTCTTTCCATAATGATTTGCAGAGAGAGAGATCAAGTCTAAGAAGTTTGAGGACAGCTGAGTTATTATAATTCCACAGTAACATGCATAGATCTTGTGCTTTTTGGGGAAGAATACAGTATAAACTTAAGCATTAAGCCATTAATGTCTTGCACCTCATATTTATCCTTTTCACATCTTTGCCACATACTGAGGTTTAATTTTTTTTTTTAGTTAAGCCTAGTGTAAGGGTTTTTTTGAAATTTGTTTTATTTATAGATCTTAAAACTATTGATAATGATCACTCATCAGTGGTGTTTGTTGCAGATTTATAGTTTTATTAGTTAACCATGTTATTAACCTAACATCACCAGTTTATATTAACTATCGGCTTTATAACTTCAGAACTGGGTTATAAATAAAAGCATCAGCATTTAGTAAGCAAGGAAAATGTGAACAAATATCCTTGCTTTTCTCGTTTAATGTGTTTGACGTGTTCAGAATCCTTGTTTTAGTTGAGAATTAATGTTAAACATTTTCACCATAAAGAAAGATCCTCAGTAAAATATCTTCAGAAATTTCACTGATTTTAAAACTCAAAGGAAATGTTGATTATGACAATTTAAAAATAATGAACTTACATAGGTTGAATGTCTCCTAAGTTTTATGTGTAAGTCCAGGAAGTAATGAGAAAGTAAATTCAACTTAATAATTGAGTTGAGTAGTGATATTAACATTTGTTTTCCTGGGGAGTTGTTGGGATTCAGATAGAAACAAATTACAGAATGGTACAAACATGAATCATATTGATGCAGAAAGACCACTAGGCAGTTTGACAATTTGGCAATAATTAAGAGTCTATACTGAAATACTGCAGGAGCCACAGACCCTGCAAACAGCATGATACTCAAAACTGCCTAAATAGCTTCAACATAGTTGGCTGGGAGCATGCCGGTCCTGCCAGTCCTCTGTACAGTGCCATACATCCAACCTTCATCAATAGCTTGAACGTTGACAATAGCATCTCCATCTCTGAAGGACACCTCATCTGCATCAGCAGCCATGTAGTCATACATGGCACGGAAGATTTTCTATTCATGAGAATAGAACAACAGAAAAACATATATTAGATTTGCAGCAATTAACCGAAAGACATAATTTTAAGGTCTCTTTGATTTACTACACAAAGGTTAAGTTGCATCAAAGACTATCTGAAACTATCATAGAGAAAGTAAAAAGGCAACACAAAATAAGTAAATATTTGCAAATTATATTTCTGATAGGGGATTGCTTTTCAATATAGAAAAGAATTTCTACAACTAAATACTGAAAAAAAAAGGAGGGGAGGGAAATAGCAAAAGATCTGAATTCTTCAAAGAATATATACAAAGCCTATATGCACATGAAAATATACTGAATATTATTAACCATCAAGGAAATGAAAATCAAAACCATAATGAAATACCACTTCAAACACACCAGATGATAATAATCGCCAAAGGGAAGAGGTGGAGAAATCAAATTCCATAAAGTGCTGGTAGGAATGCAAAATGATGCAACCATTTTGGAAAACAGCTTTAGGAGTTGTTTGCATGTTAAATATAAAGTTGTCATACAATTCAGTAATTTCACTACCCAAGAGAAATGAAAATGTGTCCACAGAATAAAATGTGCCCCCATAATAATAAGAATCCAAATGCTCACTAGTTGGCAAATGAATAAAGTAAATTTTTTCATACAATGGAATATTACTTGCTAATAAAAAATATAATACAAGACAGATGAACCTCAAAACATTAGGAAACCATTAGTCACCATGTATTGCATAAGTTCATTTTCTATAAAATGTCCAAATAAGGAAAGCTACAGAGATAGCTTTGTGGATGTCTTTAACTGGATGAGTGGGGAGGGAAAGGTTCTGGATGGGGTGAGACTGTTGATGGCTACATGGGTTTCACTTAAGGTGATGAAAATGTTCTAAAATTATAGTGGTGGATAAACAACTCTGTGAAAGAACTACAAATTGTAGAATTGTACACTTCAAATGGTGAACTTAACAGTTTGTCAAAGTCATGGATGTGTGTATGTGAGCAAAAACAATATGCTTATTTTACACATGACCTTTATAAAGAATTCTTTTAAGCAGAAAAATGTTTTAGTTTAACATAGTTGGTAGGATCATGCCCAAAATGATACTTTGCTTGCTTTGTTTTAAATAATTAAATATGCCTTGTCACTGAGTTTAGTAATGAAGATATTCTGATATTAACACCAGATGTTATATAATATATAAGTTTTACATAAAATAGAAAGCTTGGTTGAAAAAAAAAAACCTGATTACTTAAATCATTTTTGAGATATGATTTTCAATATCAAAAAATCAGTATTATTTGAGTAAGTTCTTCACTATTTACTCACTCCAGCAGTAGACGGATGAGATGGGATAGAGGATACTGTCGTCTGTTGGGTGGCAACCGAAGAGGATCGTTGTTGTGGGAGCTCTGTGGTCTTTGCATGTTTATAAGCTGAAAAGAAGAAAATGGTTCAGAAGAAAAAAATGTGCTCAGACGTCATTTACTCTACATTTATACCACAAATTCAGTATTTTCTCATGAGGAGAAAAGAACCCAGATTTTGTTTTTATTTTACTCAAAGCGACTCTTAGCGTAACCAGTAGTAGGTTGGCAGATGTAGGCTGGTCAAGCCTGCACCAGCCACCTGTACCTGCTGAGGTGGCGGAGAAGAAGACACCCCCTTCGCTGTAGGTGGAGAGGTGGAGGTCGGCGGCATCCGAGTGTTCAGACTTCTCCTCGCCGCCGCTGATGCTCAGCGCACTGGCAGATCGTGACTGCTCGCGGCTCCGTCGCTGAGCTTGGACTGCAGAGAGCAGATGCAGAAGGAACAGAGCTGAAGCAGCTGTTGCAGTGGTGCCCAACAGCAGCTGGACCTCAGTGGCTGACCTTTCAATGCCAAGCATAGTTTTAGGTAGATTCCCATGGATTAAACCCTCAAAACTTACAATGTGTGGCTGTCATCCTGATTTTCCAGATGAGGGCTTAAGTAAATTACCAAGACACCTAACAGTTAAGCAGCACAAATCCCAGAGTCCATCCTCCACTCTGCCCTTTCTCCTGGCTCACCAAGATGAGTAAATACAATATTCATCTTCATCGTTTCCAGAAAGTTGTCACTAACCTCCAAATTTATTTGAGTGCCTTTTGTGTTTCTATGGACAACAGACCTTTAAAACTGCATGTGCTAGGGCTTAACAGGTGATTTACTCATCTTTTACAGTAAGTAGACTACATGATAAATCCTTTGAAGGCAGCAAAATATTCTACATTTTAGTAGAAGTCATGAAGGCCTGTTTGTGAAACAATCTTAACTTGAGCATGTATAGAAAATGAGTCAGGTCCATTAACCAACAACATACTTTAATACTGAATGAGCAATTTAGAAAATTGGAAACCTTGGAGAGATGGACATTCACAGCCTACAAGTCACTGACTGTGGCCCACTCAACGATAACATTTATGTCATAGGCTTTTGAGGCCTAAAATACCATTGATCTTGTGTAAGCTTCGGGATTGAATGTTGTCTTCTGCTGGATCATAGTCAAAAACGGAGCCAGGATTAGTACGCCAGACTCGTAAACCTGGAAGTAAGAGTAAGGATCAGAATGTATGTTCTGAATTCGTACAGTAACTGGGACATCAGAACATGACTTAAACAGCCACAGGAGAATGATGCCACACTAATTCAGCTTAGGTTCTAGTCATGCCTTCCCCTTAGAAGTGGGAGAGGCATCAGCTTTGAAAACTATGAATATGGGTATTTTTTGTTTTTTTTTTGTTTTGTTTTGTTTTATGCTTAACGAAAACACAGACTGAAGTCCTTTATCCTTTGCCTTGGTGTAAATAAGGTCACTTTTGTTCTTCAACTCCTCTTAACTTAAATATGATTCCTTACCCCTACCTCCAGACTGAATTACCTGTAACAGTCTCCTGATCCTGGTCATTCCGTTTTTGTCCAATTTCTACCACTTTTCTCTGAATACCTCGGTAGTTAATGTCACTGAAGTCCTGTGTGTTCTTCTTCACCCTTTCAGTGATAGGGTCTGTCACCACGGGTGTGAAGCAACCCTTGTGTTTCTCAAAGTCTTCATGATACTTAACCTGCAATTTCATGAATTAGTTTTGTGAAAAGATGATGGTGTAATCACTTCCTTTCTAAACATTGGATTGATTAACCAATCCTAAAACATTCCTGACTTACTGTGGAGATGTTGCGTTGGGTCTCCCTTACTCGTCTCATTTCTGGGGTGTCTAACACATAGGCAGCTTTGCCTTGTATTTGTTTCCGGAAGCTATCAGAGTAAAGGACCTGATGGAGGAGAGACCGTGAATGAGTCATAAAGCCATCCTAATTCTGAGGCCTCAAAACCTTTCCAATAGATGGAGATGAAGGAATTGGTAAGGGAAACTTGGGCCCACTGAAAGAACCCAGCAAAACCTGTAATTAAAATGGAACAGGTTGGTATGAGGCTGGGCCAGGAAATTATTGGGAGAAAATGAATAAAATGAATTTATTTGGACTTTGAAAAGGTAATTTTCAAAATTTGAAAATGAAAATTACCTTTTCAAAGCAGAGAAAGGGAAGGGGAGAAAACAGTTTGCTGGGTTTACTGGGAATTGTAGCACCAACACCATAGTATTCAATGGTACCTGGCACTAATTGCTGACACTCAAAGAACTATTCTTTAAAACAAGTTATTTTCTTAGATTTATAGAGCAACATTCTTTTACAGAAATCAAAGTCCTACAGACAGGAAAGTCCCAAAGAAGGTATTCCTTTGAGAGTATTACCTGTTTTACAGACCACCTTAAAATAAAGGAGAGCAGAAGACTGAGGAGGTTAGAAAGTCAATTTGTTACAGTTGATTATATAAGACTTCCTCTGAGTCAAGTAAAAGGGGGAAAAACATTGGTCATTAACATGTTATGTCTTAGTATGATCATTTGGAATTTAAAAACACAGTGGTGTTAATTTTAGTGTAAATTTCCAGTTGAATAAAAAAGTGCACATTTTTTATGATATTAAAATGTTATTTTTCGAAGATGTTGCATTTTTGTTTTCATTTTTAGTGTACTTCAGTCGAATGAGAAAGGCACATTTTTATAATGTTAAAATGTTATTTTCCAAGATGTTGCACTATTCTTTTAATCCTAGAAAATACCGAGCTAATGTTTTCTTGGTTGCGCTTAGCTCTCTCCATCTCTGGAGTGACAGGTGTCGGAGTGGCTTTTCGCATATTCTCTTTGTATAACACCTAGAGGGCCAAGAAAGTATCCAGACATCAGAGAGCAGAAACCCAGTTCTCACGAGCCATCATCTAGCTGGTGTTATGGCTCAACTGCATCACACACTATGAGAAACACCTCAGAAAGAGACAGCCATGAACATGTTATTGTATAAAGCAAAAGATGAAGAAAGAAGTAAAATCAGTTTGCGCTGGGATTGCTTTGTTTTTAAATGAGATTGTAAAGGGATTTTAAATGATAAACATAAGTTTGGGGGGAAATGTGAGGCAAATTAGTGGCTTAAACATGATGGCCAGGCTTGTTAAAAGTTTAATGATTTCTTTTCTCTATCTGAAATACCGAGCTAAAGTTTTCTTGATTGCGTTTCACTCGTTCCATCTCAGGAGTAAAGGGTGTGGGGGTTGCTTTCCCCAGGTTCTCCTTGTATAAAACCTGTGAGATAGAAAGTGGGACCAGAAAGTCACAAGGAGGCAGCATTTCAAGCTATTAAATATCAATGCAGTTTGGGGGAAGAAGCTCCAGGTTTAATCTATGACTATTAGTGAAACTAGCTCTCAGGAAAAATACTTGAAAAACAGTTAAAGGCAATGGTGAGTATAATATGACATTTAGAGGAGATTCTAAACATCTGGCATTTTGTTTATGTTTTGCCTGGGATTGAGTTAGGAGCAAGACAAACTGCAGGGATTACTTTGCACAATTAAAAGCATTTCTGTTTCTCAAGACAATACCGAGCTAATGTTCTCTTGATTGCGTTTGACTCTTTGCATCTCTGGAGTCATGGGGGTTGGAGTGGCTTTTCCCACATTTTCTTTGTACAAAACCTACACGAGTCCCATGGATCCAAAAATTCAAAAAGAAAAGAAGAAATGCAGTTACCAAGAGATTAAGGTATGGAACAGATCATTTGTTAGGAGGCACAGGAGGCCAAACCAATTGAGCAGTAAGGTTAGAGAGGAAGACAGAAGTTTCCAAGGTAGAAAGGAGTTGACAACAAAGGACACATTTCCAGGGTAGGACCCTGTCCCCAAATCTTTGCAGACTGCAAAACAAAATGCCCCTAAAGGCAGACAGACCACCTGCATTCTACCTCTAGTCAAGCACCTGCCAGATCATTTAAGCAGGAAGCTGGGACTTAGGCTTGAATAACAGTGGGAAAATTGAGGTGGTTCCCTAGATACCAGGGGTTCTGGATTTTTCTGCAACACTAAAGCTCACAGAGGCACATCAGTAAAACAAGGAAAAGATTTCCCTTTTTTTCCCTGTTATCATCTGCTGTCTCTTGCTTTAGGTTAACAAAATCAAATTTTTCAGTTAAAAAAAAAAAGACTTTCAGCAGTGTTATCTTCTCATGGTAAACCCATAGGACACATCATAACACACTATAGTAAATCCTGAACTTGTCTCCCCTCCGTGTCATTTTTGGGGATGTAGGATATTTGGGAAGTTGCTTATGTGAGGAAGAATTCTGTTAAAGCAGCAGTTCTCAAAATGGGGTCACAGGAAGGCACAGTTGGTATCATCTGAGAACCGCTGAATGAACATATTCTGACAACAACCAGACCTACAACATGAACCTCCATGAGGGCAGGGCAATGTATGGCTTAACAAGCCTCGCAGCGACTGAGGCACACGGGCATTCAGAGGCCCTCTTGCACTCAAAATATTAGAGATGTCTGCAGACTGTGCACAGTGGAGAGCACAAGTTCCTTGTTAAATGAACTCACACCATCCCCTAAGGCCAGACCTCTGAGAATTTATATATATCATAGTCTTGTGGAAAACTGTTTCCAAAGTTGGCAGCTGAAGTCCATGATAAAGACAAAAAAACTAATAATGAAAAGGAAAGAAGCTTGAGTGACATTTTCTTTGTGACGTAAACTGACAACACATGCCAAAACCACTACTAGACCTAAATTTCGTCATTGTCCCCAAATATCAGAGTTATTTTTCCTAAGTTAGATTTTGTCCAAATCTAACTCGGTAAGTTAGAACCTGAAGCCACAGCACAAACACAGTAAACATCACTGTGCCAGAAAGAGCTATACTACATCGATGGTGCCACCTCCCAGTTTCCTGAGAGTGCAAATCAAACAAACCTTATATGGGTAGTGGAGAGGGAGTAAGTTTTGGGAGAGATGAGCAAAATGTTCAGTGTTTTATTGGAAAATCCTTTACTTCTTGTTATTAGAACTTTAAATTATGGATTAAAGCAATTTTGTTATTATGGAGTTAAAGGTAGAAGTAGCCCTATGGGAAAGAAGGATAAATGGGATCAATTCAACAAACTTAAGTTGTCTTTAGAAAGTAGGATTAATATGTATTATTTTAAATCATTAAAGAAGTAGTTTTTTTTTTTCTTGCCAAAGTACCGAGCTAATGTTTTCTTGATTGTGTTTGACTCTCTCCATCTCTGGAGTGACAGGTAAAGGAGTCCCCTTGCCCATATTTTCTTTGTATAACACCTGTATGATGAGAAAGCACCCAGAAAAACAAATGTAAGGAACATTTCAATATTCACGAGTTAAACGTCCTTGTTACAAAATGACACAGGAGCCAAGAGTACATGCTGACAAGACAACAAGACACCAGAAGCTACTTAACGCAGCCATTCTCAGGGGGCTGCCCCAGGGCGGCCAGGACCCAGCTGCTGGAGAAAGACTGGGGAGCTTATCCTCGGGATCCTTCTCATTTCAATGAACCATGTGCTCTTAAACAATCACATTGGGATCTAAGATTGTTAGAACTTGGTTTTTTTGTTACCCAAACTAAAGGCCAAGTTTTTAAAAGGACTTAGAAAAAACTAACAAAAAACAGATGGTGCGACATTCAGAATTAACTGAAATAAAAAGAATAGAATAGATAGTTCTGCCACAGAAATATGAAAGTATATCCTTTTGGTAAGTGAGGCATGTTAGAAGCAAAGGAAGGGAAGTGGATTTTCAAAAAGGATAAATACTAAGAATCAATTTAATTGTAAGGTTAAGTGGCATTTTCTTTTCCCTTTCATTCCAAAATACCGAGCTAAGGTTTTCTTGATTGTGTTTGACTCTCAGCATCTCAGGAGTGATGGCAATTGGAATTCCTGTCCCCAGGTTTTCTTTGTATAGCACCTGTGTGATAAGAAAGTATCCAGAACAACAACAAAACATCACCTACCTCCCCTCTGGTGGTGCTTTGGGGAGAAGGGCAAAGAGGGAGAGAACGAGTTAGAGGGAGGAAAATATTATAAGCTTCTAGATCCAACCTGTGAGCCTGACATCCTTCAAAGCAAGGAGTGCAGGAAGAAGCAGAAACTAAGAGATAGGAAAGGAAAGTTTTGTTATTTTTGTTTGTTTGTTTGAACTGCACTACAGAGCAATGGAGAGCACCAGGAAAGGGAACAATAAGTCCCCCAGCTTGTTATGAGGAGGGGAAGGAAGGGCAAAAGCCAGAGGGAACCAAGGAAGTTATTTTTGATTTGAAAATGTTAATACACAAAGAGATGTTTGGGTTTCAGCAAATTGCACATATGATGATGATGATGATGATGATATATATTTATATATATATGTATGTATGTATACTTTCAAAAGAACTATTCAGAAGAAGTATATAATTTTAGTTTGAATATATTGGGAAAAGTTAATTTGGAGGCAAAGGAGAGCAATGATAAGATGCTACAAAAGAAACCTCAAAATTAGTGTACAAATACCACTGGCCACAGAGAAGATGATACTAGGAAATGAGGCAAAGTGTGCGGGCTGCAGAACAAAGTTTCGTAAGCTTTATGTTCAGATTTGATTTGCCAAAGCAGGATGAATGTGGGTGTTTAGACACTTGAAGGTTAGGATTTTAAAGTGGAATTTACTACTGACCATTTAATTTAAGTTATTATATTAATGTTTAACTAAAATGGGGAAACTGATTCATAGGAAATGGCAGCATTAAATTGCAAAGAAGACATGTCTAAATTTCTATTGACATAAGTTGATTAGATTTAAAGGAGAGCCATTAATCTTTTTAATCATTTTAAAGGTAAAGGGATTTTTTTCTTTTCAATACCGAACTAAAGTTTTCTTGATTCTGTTTGACTCTCTCCATCTCTGGAGTGATGGGAATCGAGATCCCTTTCCCGAGGTTTTCTTTATACAACACCTGTATGACATGAGAGAGCAGCCAGAAAAAAACAAGAGCAGTCAAAACAGCCCTTTGTCTCTCTGTTAGAGAGTCCAGGATGAGACTAAAGACATTGAACAGGACAGACACATTCACCAAGTCAGCCCATCTTTTCTAGCACACATCTGTATGAGAACACAATCCATATTTTCTGGCCAATATAACTGATATTCAACTTGCATCCTAACCTATATGTTACATGATAGTGTGCTATGTCAGAAATTAAGGGAAATAATACAAATAATTTAATAAGACAAATAAAATGCATAATGTACAGTAAAATATTTTTTTTCAAGTTAGACTGGAAATATTTCTTTTTCTCGTGCCTAACATCTATTTTACAGAATAAGAAATATAAAATCTTAGGCCCAGTCCATGCAACTTGACAAAATTGCTATGTGCTCAGTAAACTCAAGTTGTAGAAATGGTCAAATCTGAAAGCCAATGATAGCATCGTAAAGTCTCTCTGCACACCTGGACAATTTTGCTGAAATGCAACATGAGTGAAAATTAACAGAAATGGGTACTTCAAAAAATTTGTCCAGATTTGCTAAGATCAATAGTCCCCAAAAATATGAAAAATAATACACTCCAAGATAGGAAAATAATTAACAAATAATTTTGAAAATCTTTGCCCAAGGAGGAATAATAATAACAATAACAAACCCACAGGGAAAATGACATTCCAAAAGACATAATAATTTACATTAAAAATTTAACAAAACTGGAAGGTTGTTAGTAAATAATAATTAAAAACAAAGGAAAACAAACAAAATGACTGTGGACCAAAGAAAGTTACTGAACTAATTATGTAAAAGAATGAAAGTTTCAGAAAATACTTTTTACTGACAAAAAACATTTTGAATCAAACTTCCCTCCAACCCACCGTGCCCAAAAAATCCCACTGAATTTTCCAGTAACATTTGATTCTGCCTCACGCATAAGTCTAAGATCTTTATATATAAGTTTCACATTAAGTGTTTTTAAGTAATAATTCACACTTAAGTATTACAGAGATTTTCAGCAAAAATGTCAATAAAATAAAATATTAAATATAAGCTCAATATCCAAATTTTTATATTAAAAAAAAAAATCCAGAAGGTCTGGATTTCTATTCAGAGAATAGCCTGCTCAGGACTGTCAAGAGAAGACTGCTTTGGGTCTTGCCACTGAGCACTTTTCTTTCTCTGTGCTGTTATGCAGACAGGATCTATATTAAGATCACCACTGTTTCCAAGCACTGTTTATGCCTATGGATTCAAGTTCAGTATCTTTTCTTGCAGTATTAATCCAGAAACAGTAAATAAAAGGGGTTTCAAGGAAATAAGAGCATCAGTGTTTAGGTTTCTTATTTGTTTTTGCTTTGTTTTGTTTTTGGGTATCAATTATTTTCAATAGTCCCAGCAGTTACAAGAAAGGTGTAAAGAGAAGGAAAGGAACCAATGAAAAGTTTTCAGTGACCATCACACAAAGTTTAAAATGTTAGAATTACAATGGTGAGTACAGTATCTGAAAAACAGACATATTCAGTTGATGAGATTTTAAAGAGACTGTGTTAAAATATTTTCAGTGGACTAATAGTGAGTTTTGTTTTGTAGACATTATTATTATTATTATTATTATTATCATTATCATTATCATTATTATGGTATTAAAGGAACTTTCTCCCAAATACCGAGCTTAAATTTTCTTGATTGCGTTTGACTCGCTCCATCTCAGGAGTGACAGGCAGGGGGGTCCCCTTGCTCAAGTTCTCTTTGTACAAAATCTGTGTGCACAAAAGCAACAACCAGATCAGCCTGGGCCCATCTTGTAGGTAAACTTAACCTGTAAAATTGTCTCTTAAAATATTTTTGTTTGTTTTCATAATACTATGAAATAACTTTCAGAAATACCACCTCTGGGCATTTCCAGGCACAGTCTGAAGTCTGTCCCTGAGTGGTAACTCTATGTACACAGCTGCCTGGCCTGCAGGCAGGAGTCACTTACTTACATAGGCCTCTAGCAAGGGAGGACAGGCCTTGTCAAATAGTGCTCAAGTTAATTGAAATTAATGCCCATAATGAGTTCTAAACACTAAATAGCAGACCAAAGAGAGAGAGAAAGAGAGAGAGACAGTGCAAGAAAGAAGCCTGGGGGGAAGTAGAAACATAAATATTAAAAAGCAAGATAAATATTATCTTTCAATGATTCTGAAAATATTTCAAAGTTCACCTATATCTTACATGGTATGCAAAAAAATGACTGAGCAAGTAAATTGAGGTGAGCCAAATAAGTCTGAGTTATTATGAATTACTACGTTGTCTTTTGAGTAAATATATCTAAAAAAGTCACATTCTTTTAAGAAAAGCTACAAACACACAAAGAATCAAACAGCGGCATAGAAAATATACAAATAAAATGAACACCGTGTTTTTCAAGTGGTGTTAGATTTAACTGTTGACTTGAACACACTATTAGAAAATCGATTGTTATTAAAGAAGGATTTGAGGAGGGAAATATTGTACATTATAGGTTTTTAAGGAAAGTGATCAATAACTATGTTTTAAGGGAAAACCGTTAAAATTTCACACCATAATGCAAATAAATATTAAATTAGATTTGGGTGAATAGTGAGATAATATTTGATATCATTATTTCATTATATATGTTTAGTACTTTTACAGGAAGAAAATCAATGTTTATAATGTGTTAAATATAGTATTTTAAATAAAAATTAAGGGATTTTATTTTTTGCCCCCTAGAAAATACCGAGCTAAAGTTCTCTTGATTGCGTTTCACTCTCTCCATCTCTGGAGTGATAGGTGTTGGGGTTCCTTTCCCCAAATTTTCTTTGTACAAAACCTGTGAGATACAAAAAAGTTCCCAGAGACATTCAAAACAAGTACAAAGATTAAGGAAGGGAGAAAACTGAGGCAGGGGTGTGTGTAAGGAAGGAGATTTTTAGAATAATAACATTTAGTAGGATAATGCTTTTACTTTTTATGTCACAATTTTAATAGTGAACTCAACAGTGCTAGATCTGGGCTAGAAGAGTTTGGCAATAGAAAGCAGTGTTAGAGGGTATGAGAACCTAAAATGAGAAATCTTGTGTTAATTCCATTTGCAGTATTTCAGATCTAAGTACTCACAATTGTCAGTTGCTAAAAAAGTTAATATACCAGGAGAAAAATGAGTCACTTTGTAGAAGTCCAGATTATTTGGGTCAGGTAATAACACACACACACACACACATACAGCACAACTGTTAAGCGTTAACTTAAAAAAAAAAGGATAATGGGTTATTTTGGTAATTTTTAAAATAACTAAGGGTTTCTTAATTAATATATTTGTAAATACCGAGCTAAAGTTCTCTTGATTGCGTTTGACTCTTTCAATCTCTGGAGTGATAGGGGTTGGGGTGCCTGTTCCCAAATTTTCTTTGTACATAACCTGCAGGAAATAAGTAGAACATACACAAAGGTAAAATGACCACCAACCCTATGGGTTTCAACTATGTATGGGCTATTTGGTGGGAACTCAAAAATAATCTAGCGTTCACATGTAACATTTAAGGAATAAGGAAAAGAAATTTGACAAAAATGTGTTTTATTTTCAAAAGTAATTTACTGCCTTGAAAATAGGCTACTAAATTATGCATTTTCTATAGTTAACACTTAGTACATTCTTAACATGCACTAAAGAGTAGTAATAAATTCAATAATGAGAATAATTTAACCATTTCATAACAGATGGCATTAGTCTCTTGAATATAGTTCCCTAATAGAATAACACTTAATAGGTTGCTTCATTTAAAAATTTCTAATCACACAAATATTTTGTTTTGATTTTCTAAACAAAATTCCTAGTTGGCCTGACTGAGTCTGAGGGGACCCTCAATTTGAGTAAACTTTATTTTTCAGGAAGAGTATCTTTCCTTAAAATGATAATTGCTAAAATGTGAACTAGCATCTTGTGATTTTTGTTGTTTTTCTTGAACTCAGGAGAGTCCTATTGTTAGGGGTAGTATCAAAGGCTGTGTATTGTAATGAAGTGAGGAATTTCCCAAACCTCTAGCTTCCTTCCCTTCCTCTTTTCCTCTTAATGTCGACAATTTTCAGCCCAAGGAAAATGCAGGAATTCTTTTTAAGGATGGATTCTATTGTATACTACAACATGGGGTGGGAAGAACAAAGGACCCAGGGGTTTGTGTCACAGATTAATTCCTAAAAATCACTGACAAACTACTGTTGATATCTTTGTTTTGTGAGGAAACCTTAAGCAGTTGAAAATCTATCTTCTTAGGTCAAAACTGTGTTTAATACAATAAGGCAGCACAATCAATCATGGGTAGAGAACAAAATCAGTCAAAAATTCAAGACGTTGCAATCAAAAGCAAAGTATGAAGTATTGACCACTTTTACTGTATTAGTGGACACAAAACTCTAAATGAAGTTTGCATGATAAAGAAGTCAGGGTAAGAAGGAAGTGAAAAGGGAAAGAAATCTAAATAATATAAATACCTTGCAAGAGAAATAGCAAGTGTTTTCTAATGGAAATTAGAGTTCAATTTTACAGTGACCAAGAGAATCTTTAAGACCAAGGTCCTCATCTTTTATTGGTCATAATCTCTTCCCCAAATTGCAGAGTTTCTTGCTTGTAGTTAAATTACTTAGTTTTCTTTCTTTATAGATAGAAGTGTGTGTGTGTGTGTGGGGGGTGGCACATGCACCCACATACAAACACATGTACACTGCAGGGAACAAGGCTAGCTTGACAGAAGGTCCGAAGAAATGTGTGCTTAACCTAGTATTTACCTTTGAGGTTATATTAAATCTTAAACATACTCCGCATTTACAAGGAGAGAGCAGTGAACATTAGGGCAAAAATATTGAAAGGAAGGGGAGAAAGCTGCATAGATTTCCCAAGTTTACCTAGTGTCTTTCTGGACAGTGGAGAGTGCCCCATTAGCACACATGCATATGTGTATGCTTATGTGTATATAAACATTCATTTTATATTATTATATGTCTACATCTTTATGCTTTTGGTCAACTGACAATAGGTCATCTTAAAACCTTATTACTAACTATTGCCACACGTTATTTGCGAAACTGCAGATATGATGACTAAACAAGTCAAGTCCCTTGTCTCTTGAGTATGTGAGTATTATCTATTTTTGCAAACTTAGCTCCTCTCTCAGGACCAAAGGAGGATTTAAGTGCCCCCAAGGCACGGAATCTCTGGCAGGAGGAAGGAAGGATGAGATAGAGTTGGCATAGAAATTAGCAAGTAGTTATTGTACAAACACAGGCTGAACATATAGGCCACTACCGAGCTGATATGCTTCTGTGTCTCCTTGACACGTTTCACTTCAGGCAGGTCAGGGATTGGGGTTCCTTGTCCAACAGCTTCCTTATATTTCACCTGCAGATATAAAATTAGGAAATGAAAAGTATAATCATATGTTAATAATTACTCTTCCCAATGCATGTCTGTGTGTATCTGATTACTGTAATTTTGCAACTTCAATAGCACAAGCTTTACACTTAGTATCATTTGATATTTGGTATGAGAAGAACGATGCTAAGGACAATGACACTTGGTCTTTCTCTTATCAATGTGGGATGAGGCAGAGGCAGGAATTCATGCTTAGACTATGTCCCTTTCTTTTTCTTGTGTTGGCCAAAATTGTTATATCTATAGTCCATTAAGTAGGACAGACTTATTTACATTCATACCTGGAAAGATGGAGTTTTTGACACTACTAGATTCTACTTTCTATACATGACAGAGAATCTCTCTTCGACCAAATTTCAGGCTGCTCTGAATCCTCTTCCCAAGTAAGTCTCTACTATGGATTTCTGCATCTTTGCATTGCCTAACTTTAGTAAAAGTCCTGCTGAATCACTTTAGCCAGAGTCCCTCACCCTCCTGAAAGCTGATCAAATTCCTCACCTTCCACCATCCCCATTGAGATCCCCAGGTGAAATCTGACTACCTCAGCCTATCTCCAGTCAAAACTCTCCTTGCTCCTGAGGTTTGCTCTGAATACCTTTCTACCACTGAACTTCCTCCTGCCTGCACCCCTGACTTCTCACTCACCTGTGAATTGTTTTCCTTGTTGTACTGGGAATTGATCTCATTTATAATCCAAGATCTCCTTTCCCCAATATTGCAATAGTCCTTAATAAAACCTGTTGGCTTTTCTTTTTACCACTTTACTGTCTAGCTCTGCTTTACATGGACACATGCGTCTCCAGTTTCCATCTCTAACCTCCCCTCATGAGAACTGCCCCAGCGTGACCTAGCATTGTGAGAGCCTCTGAACCAGAGCCAGCTGTTTTAGCAACTTAACATGCTTCCAGTAATGCAGTTTTGGGTGCAGCTCAGACTTCAGAGTAAATGATTGAGGGGATGCAGAAAACACTAAGTGTTTACCGAGCTGATGTGATCCTGTGTTTGCTTCACTCTCATCATCTCTGGTGTCTTTCCAATTGCAGTTCCTGGTGAGACATCCTCTTTATATAAAACCTGGACATTCAGAATCAGGACAGTGTTACTCAGAAGAAAGGAAAACTCAACAATTCCTGGAAAAAGACTAGGAAACATGGCTCTGTGTAAACAAAAGAAACTAGCTAATGTTCTTAGGTAAGTATCTGACCTCCTTGGCATCAGCCATTCAAATTAAATATGCAACATGGATCATTGTCAGATTTGGAGGTTTCTTCTAAGATTATCATACTGTACTAATGTATTATAGAGGGTGAGAAATGCAGAAGATGTTAATTTAAAAAAACCTTCCCATATGAAACATGAAAATCCATTAAAGAAATGCAGTCAGTCAGTCACTTTGAGGAACAATAATAAAAGAAATCACAATGTCAAAAAGAAATCCATGGGGGGGGGGGGAAGGCAGCATATGTTACTGTTCTGGGATTAAAAAATAATAAAAAGGAAAAGTTGTTTGTTAGCAGATTTAAGTTGTTATTTCAAAAAATATCGGGAGTGGTGATTTTAGAGCAAAGTATAGAGAATTTTAACAAATAACTGCTAGTGTTAATTGGGGATGTTATCTGAATCAAGGCGAGGCCACATATTTTTAAAGAGAATATAATTATTAGGTTAGGGTTAAATGGGATATAAACAATAAATATACCGAGCTGAAATTCTTTTGATTTTCTTTAACACGCAGTATTTCTGGTGTGTCTTGAACAACTGTAATTTTTCCTTTACTGTTTTTAAGATCACACTGGTATTGAAGCTATGAAGGAAGTAAACATCTTGTTAAGATTTCAACATTGTTTTAAATAGTTTAATTGTCCAATATTGTGTAAAGGAAGTTAAAATTCTATATTTTAGAAAATGTCTATTCCAGAATAGTTGGTTTCATAGCCAAATAAGAATTTGTGAATAAACTAATTTCTAAAAATCCTAAAACTTATACTACATTTTATTAAGTGTTTTTTTAATGTATTTCTTGCCTAGAATTAATTTTGAAAAAGATGTTTTTTCCCACTAATGGAAGACAATCGGATATCATATTCAACTGAAAGCCACCAACAAAGTGACAGAAGAATCTTATATGCTCTCAATAGGGCTGAAATAAAAGATACGTCCAGAGAAGAATGGAACCCACATTCCTGGCTGAGATGGGAGCTGGGGGGGACTTCCCATACCCCCCCTAAAGGCAGGATACTCAAGTATGTGTCCCATTGCCCCATTGCATCCCAGTACTGGTAGACTGTGCTTTAGATTTGATAAAAACTCACAAGGCTGAAGTTCTTTTGGTTCTCCCGGACTCTCTGCATTTCTGGAGTATCCAAGACTGTCTCATAATATGACATGGACTTCTCTGCATCTTCCTTGTACTTTTTCTGTGAATAGAGTCCAAGAAATAAGGATGGTAAATAACAAAGATGAATGGATCAACAGGACCTAAAAATAGCCCTAATGGCTCAAGAAAGTCCTTTGTATCTTCTTGACTGTTTAAGGATGTTAAGGAGTTATAAAACAGACCCCTCACGCTGTATTTATGTTTCATTTTTTCTTTCTGGGGAAATGAGCCTGGACACTTTGTAGGAGCCACTGTCATAGCAACGTTGGCTGGCTGGTCCCATAAGGCAGGTGACAGCCAACAGCACAATTCCTGGCAGGGAGATGGGGATCCTTGTAGTGAAATGGAAGGCCCAGACTATTCAACAGGTACGTGGAGAAAAGCAGAGCCATTAACAAGGCCTCCTGAAGGCCAGCCTCAGCTGGTAACAAGTTGAGCTGTGAGACTGGGTTCTGAGGACCCCTGACTACAGGACTAAGCAGGTGGGCAGGCACAGGAAGCACTTCAAAAATGCAGTGCAAAGGCTGCAAAAGTCAGAGCCATGGCACTGGTGACTGTACTAAGCCAACCTGGACCTTCAGCCAGACTTTCTCCAGAGAGGTGTGCCCACAAGGGCTGCTCTTCTACCAATCCCCATTACTAAACTAAATCTCCCCAGGTATTCTCTGCAGCAGAAAACTTATTCTGCTTGAAATTCTGAGTTTGTTGGTTTGTCTTAAATAACTTGTCACAAATCCTTTCACTTTTCTTTCTAGCCTATTTAGGGAAGCTTGGGGGTGTAGGACTAGTGCTGAGGAGAAACTCGTCACTTTTGTAGAGCTGGAACTATTCTTTCTACTTATCTGTCCCTACATAAATAACATTATTTATGAATTATATTTATAAGTTTTGAGATATTTAATTCAAAGAGAAGTAGCTTGAACAAGGAAACGATTTCAGCTGAGGTTTCTTTTGTCTGTTAAGAAACCAGTTAAAACAAAGACTTCAGGGGCCTCCCTGGTGGCGCAAGGGGTTAAGTCTCAGCATGATCAAGTTATTGGAAGCGGTATAAGAAGTTAGATCCTAGGCCAGGGAGCTGACCTGACCACACAGCACAGCAGACATCTCCTGTCTTGCCCACTGCCCCCCTCAGCAATGTATTTCGGCCAATCTGCCTGTTCTCCCCATCTATCTCTGGTAAATCCTCTCACCCTTGTACCTCTGGCCTATACCCTAGCTCTTATATGCATAAATAAATTTAAAAATCTGAAAAAAAAAAAAAAGCAAAGACTTCCAAAAGAAAGGGCAGTTCACTAGGAACAAATGTTTTTGTTCAGAAGAAAGTCACTGAACAAGAGCAGAGGAAATGACTTCATCTCTCCAGAACAGGCCTGCACTTTGAAATTTTCCTTAAAGATTAGCGATGTTGAAAGACAGAAAATTATATGATTTGGGAACCTCTCACAATCCCAACAATATTGTCTTTCCTGGCTCTCCTAATGAACACAATATAGTATATGGGGCCTATATGATTTTGGTAATATAATTCTTCCCCACATCTTACCCTCAAAATAAGATTCATTTATCCTATTTGAATATATTGGTTTTTTGATTAAACCACTATCTAGTATAACTATATTTTTCATGTCTAACTTTATAATATTAAATTATATATTGTTTATGAACATAAATATATTTATTTATTTATTTATATACTTAAATATATGATCCTCCCAACATGAGTAGTCATTAAGAGATCATCTGGGAAGATTAAAAACAAACAAATTTCCAGAACTTACATCAGACTTATTAGCTTCAAGTTCTCGAGAGGAACGAGGATATCTACACTACCAGGTGTTTATAAAGCACAGCCAGACCAGATAATTACTGCTTTAGAGTTCACTGATCAGAAGAGAAGCAAACCTCTAACTTGGGGTTACTCAAATAAACTGGAGACTTGGGGTTACTCAAACTGGAGACTATTTGATTATCATTGAAGATTAAAAACAAATAAGGGTATATCTTGAAGATACACGGGTATATATGAAGATATAAGGGTATATGTGAAGAACATCCTACTTCATTTTTCTGTTTGTAGGAGGATGGAGACATAGCCCTCACTGGAGGAATCAGGGTTAAATTGTATGGCTGTTCATGTCCATTAGATAATCTCAATCCTTTTAAAGAAAGGAATAACCTAAATGTGAACTACCTTCTTTGTTTCCTTCAGAGTCAAAATGCACACAAGTTTTACATTCACATCATGAAAGACTTTACCTATTAACATACTGATTCATCAATTATGGGTGGGGCTATGTAAGCATTCTTCAACCTATTTTAATTCTGATTTGGAAATCTCAACTTTGAATCAAATTTGCATCATAGATGAATCCCTTTTCTTTTATTGGCAAAATTACAACTTGAAAAAATATCCTTAGATATTAAATGAAAGATTTTTGTTCTTCATGACTGGGGTCGATGACAGGTATTCTGAGGAATGTCCTTACCTGGCTTGAAAGGTGCTTGACTTGTTGAGCATGAATTATTTCTGGAGTATCAACCACAGAAGTGAAATTGGCTTTTTCCATTTCAGCTGATTGCTTGTACTTAATCTGCAAAAGTATACCCAATAGTTGGCTGAATACTTATAGTGTGCACTGTGTTAGTAGCATTAGATTAAAGAATAATATTCAGAAAGAAAGGCTGAGTCCTAGCTGCTGAAAAAAACTTACTACTGGTCATGGGATAGAGGAGAAGGGTAGGAAGGGAAAGACAGAGAGAGATGACAGATAGTAAGGCATCAATTATTTACAAAAGAGCTGACTGAAGGACAAGTAAGCAAAAGTACCAATGAGCGTTAACAATGTAGGATACTTAAAAAGTGTTTTAAACTTATGCCTTGAAAGAATGGAAAGAAAGAACTCCCGCAGTAGTTTAAGCAAGGAATTACTGATGTGCTGAATAAGGAGTGAGTTGACCTTGAAACAAGCCAGGATGCCAGCTCCACGCAGCTACTGAGTCCCCCAACTTTCTTCCCTTTGCTCTGAATGTCTCCTGTAAATTTAGGCTCAGAAATAGTTGAAAGCCATCCTGGTGAAAGGTTCTTTTCATAGACATGGATTTCATGAAGTAGATGTTTAAGAATATCACTATGTAAATTTGACTGTCAGTGATCAACCAGTAACATAGAAGAATGACAACATTGTACTCTTGTAATCACAACTATTTTTTTTAAAAAAGATTGATGGGGAATATTAACACTGACCTGACTGGCAATATCAGTGGCATTTCTGGCCCTCAAAAAGTCGGGAGTTTCATTGGCCATGGTATTCAGGCCTTTTCCTTTGACCTCCAGCTCCAGATCTCTCTTATATTCTTTCTATAGTAGAAATAAAAAAAGTTACCTATAGGGACTATTCCTGAGGGGAGAAACCAAATACTCTAAAAAAAAAAAAAAAAAAAAGAACAATATATGATAAATAAATCTAAAAAAATTCCCTTACTACCATTATTAGCTAAGAAATGTACAGAGTGAATATAAACCCACAGAGCACACCACCTCCCATGCCATGTGAAGGATGGAGTGACAAATGTAGAAGTCTACTTTAAAAAACTATTCCACCATGTCAACATGAATCAACATTCTCTACTCAGAAAATTAAAGAAGCAAATTAAATCACATTTGACACATAACTAGGATTGTACATAGGAGCATACCTCCCTAGTGCATGTTTGTATTTAGATAAACACATTGAAGGTAACAAGTTTAAATCAAATAATATTAACAAATAACAAAATATGATTAGCACTACAAATATACACTTTTTATAATAGCAACCCATCAGAAATTGAGATGTAGTTTATTTAATGGTTAATAATCATGGACTATTGGATATGGAATTTAAATTTAGAAAACTCTTTTTATCACTTCTCTGGTTGTTTTCTGTATGTATAATTTGACTCAGAAAGAGAAGTTGCTGAGTTAGTTAAGTGCATGCTGTCAGCTATGGACCTACCTCATTGAGGATTTGAGTGGCATTCTTTGCTCTTAACATGTCAGGTGTATCTTCCATTTCAGTGAGACCCTTCCCACGAATGCTTTCCTCCAAATCCTTCCTGTACTCTTTCTATGTCACAAAATAAAAACAACAGTACTGACTGTTAGATAGTCTGAATTATTAGTCTTAGGTAAGAGGCCAAAAAATCACAGGGCACAAAAATCCTTCTAATTTTAAACAGCTACTGCTTAGTAAATAAAAATATGAATACAGGCATGTATGCATTTCATCAGTTAATATTAAATATCAAATTAGAAAGCAGAAGTTAATAGAACACAAGGAAAGCACATTTTAACCAATTTTTAAAATTAGAAGAATTAACATGTGCAACAGATTAAGTAGTAGTAACAAACATACAGCAACTCAGCCCACTAGGATTAGGTGGTGGTGAAATAGCTGAGAAATACACTGGTGAGAGTCATTAGTGCAGTTGTTTGGCTCAAGAGGGAAAGAAATTGGGTACTACCTCGCTGGCTATTTTGGTTGCATATTTGACATGTAGCAGAGCTGGTGTGACCTCCAGACCCGTCAGGTTTCTGCCTTTAATGGACTCTTCATATTCTTTCCTATATTCTTTCTAATGTGAGTAAGAAGAGTAGTCAAGTTCAAAAATAACTTTTATTATACTTTACTTCTCAATACTGAGGGAAAATCCTATTTTCTATGCATGACTTTTCAAATTAATCATAGTTCTGCCTCATGGTTACACAGTTGAATTTGTTCTGGAAATAGTTTAGAGCAAATGAGCCAAAGGAAACTTGGAAATTGAGAAACTTTACTGGATCCCTAATTATTACCTTATATTTTTGTAATTGGAGCAGGCAGAAGGACTGATGTGCCACCAAGACTATGAATCCACTGTCCTCTGTCCAAATGACATTTGTCTTAAGGCAATAAAAGATTCTACCTCTGAAATAAAAGTGACTCAAAAGAAACTACCTAAGGAGGTTGAGCCTAAGGGCACCAATACAAACTTTGCATCTTTCCATAATCAGAAACTATTATGTTTAATCACTGAACATTAGTCAATGAGACACAGAGAAATCTTAAATATTTATCCACTTCTAAGGGAAAGGACCACAATAGTGATTGAGGCTCCTCTCAATCACTGGGGCAAATGTTTCAGAGAGAAACAAAGTATAGATACCAAAACTCTGTTTACGTAAAATTTAATTTGATAGAATTTAATTAAAATTTACCCCCAAAATTGCAATTATTTAAAACTTTTGGTTATCTAGGATTCTATAGACTAGAAACTACTACTTTCATTAAATGCCATTTATTTTTATACTACATATGCCATTTATTGCTTCTCCCATGGAGGAGAAGGGATAAAATAAACCCAAAATGCATAGTATCCAATGAAAACAGACTTCCTAAGATGCAAAACAACATTTTATTTTTCTTTTGGTTAAAATTAAAAAAATATATAGCTGTCTTTTGGTTAAAATTAAAAAAAAAATAGATGTCTTTGCTTACATGTCTAAAATAGGAAATATGGTTTCTTGAATTATAATAAGTATTCTGATCACTAATCTCTTTTGACTTGGAGTTTCCTATTAGGAGAAGAGCAATCTAATGCCAATGATCTATCTTTGTGAAAGGGACTATTAATTCATCAAAGAAAAATTTAAATACTTTTTTATACATTTTGCTGTAGTGTTAGAAATAATTTGTTATGTTCTAGTTCTATGAAACTGATAACCAAGATGAAACCTATGGTAAGTGCTATTTTGAACATATTTTTGTATCCGAACCATAGATTTATGAGACAGAAACAATTTTGACTATCACACATTAAAGAGTCCATGTTTATCCATACTTTTGAATAACAAAGAATGGGTATGTTTTGGGGTAGTGTTTGTTCTGATCAGCTTGAGGGTATGTTTGTGTGGTGTGTTTTTGTAGAACTTACCCCACTTTGCATCTGCTGAGACTCTTTGGCGGTAAGGTATGTTGGAGTTTCAAAGTCCAACATGGGTTTTCCTCGTTCCTTTTCATACTTTTCTTTGTATTTCACCTAGTTATGAAAAGCCTTGTTAGTTATCTCTCCTTGGATCAATTTGTAGGCAGAGAGAATATTTAAATCTATACATCATGTGCATTTTGGGTGGTATTTCTTTTTTTTTTCTTTTTAAAGATTTATTTATTTATGCATACAGACTGGGAAACAGGCCAGAGGTGTGGGGGTGGGGTGAGAGGATTCACCAGAAACAGAGTGGGGAGAGAACAGGCAGATGGATTGAAATACACTGCTGAGGGGAGCAGCGGGCAGGTAAGGAGAGGTCTGCCATACCATGTAGGTCACCTCCATGGCCAGGGATCGAACTCGTGCTGCAGAGGCTGCGATAGCTTCCTAGTGCTATGCTTTAAGGCATTGTGCCACCAGGGAGGGCTCTGGGTGGCATTTCATTGTTACACAAAATAGTTCCCTATTGTGTTTCAGAGAGAGTACCATTTTGCTGTTGCCTAGGGGAAAACCACCATTAGTGTCCATAAAGCAGAGTCAGGATTTGTGTTCAACTCAAAGAGACAAAAGAATCACTGCAATAGAATCAGTTGAGAGAGCAAGTGATACAAAAATGCATAGGGAAAATCATTCCCACACTAAGAGTTAATATGTATAGATGTGAACATTTTTTTTTTTTAGTTTTTTTGGCAGTTTTTTTTTTTAAAGATTTATTTATTTATTCATACAGAAGTGAGGTACAGGCCAGAGATGTGGAGGGTGAGAGGATTCACCAGGGACAGAGTGGGGAGCAGAACAGGCAGATCAGAAGAAGTACTGCCGAGGGGAGCAGCAGGCGGATCAGGAGAGGTCTGCCATGCCATGTGGATCTCTTCCGGGGCAGGCGGGGATTAAACTCATGTGGAAGTGGCTTAAGCTTCTCAGTGCAGTGCTTTAACCCGCTGCGCCACCAGGGAGGGCCCAGAAGTGAACATTTTAACCAGATAATAAGTCAATATTCCCGATTAAAAAAAACAAAACAAAAACCTTGTTTTGCTTTCATAAGAACTGCTACCAGATGTCTGGAGTTTTTACACATGTTTAAGTCAATAAATCTATATGGTTTATAATCAGTTTTACATTTAATGCAGTCAGTGTAAACTGGCATAAAATGAAAATGAGATTACATGTCAACAGACCTACTAACAAACTGAATGTTCTCAAGAGATCCCCCTAAGGCTACTGTACAAATACTGTCTCCTCATTATAACATGTGGTAGGCTTGGGAGGAATTGTCAGAGATTCATATTTTATAAATGAGAAATGAAAGGGAGGCAGAGGCCCTTGTTCTCTCAGCACCTACAGGCAATGTTCTGTCAATGCTCTGTTGCTGGTGACAAGGCTTCAGAGTAGATGCCTGCAGGGCACCTGCCACTTGGCAGGCAACATGAAGACATTCCAGTAATTTAGTTCTCTTGGTTAATGCCCAACAGATAACCTAAAACTTGCAGAATTTGTGATACAGGAAGTTGTATGATAGCAAACTCCTCTGGGTTCTTCCTCCTGAGAATTTTAATTAAATATTCTGTCACTTCTTAAATACCCAGAGACTACTTCAAAGGTGATCTAATATCATTTCTTTCCTTAAACTCTTTTAAGACTCCTATCATCCATTGTGTTTCCGTACCTGGGCACAGACTCATGGGGCACATCAGGTTTATTACAAGGGACTTGACCCCCTTGTATCATAACCCTTGTGCTTCCGTTCCCCCATAACACATACTGCACATACATAGACTAGTTACCCAATATGTGTCGATGCAGCTGTCATTTATAATATAAAAAGCTGTCTTTCAAGTGTTACTGAATTTTGTATCTGTGGACATTTTCTCAGCCAACAGTTACTAAAATCCTAACTATTCTAGGTTGCATGACTTGCTTGAAACTGTTAGTTTTTGACCTGGCAGGTGAGTGTGCAAGAGGAAAAGTGTCAGTCTTTATGAACTTACTAAACTCTGTAATTCTGTGGCCTCCTTCAGGTGAAGCTGCTCCAGATTATCTGGTATTGTGTGGTAGTGGCCTTTACTCTTCTCGTAGTTCTTCTTGTACTGGTACTGAGGGGAAGGAGGTAAAAAGCACATGTTGATGAAAAAGCTGCATCAGTATTCCTCTTTTCCTCTGTAGATTAGCTACTTACACAGCAGCATTATCAAGAGCAAAGCAAAATTAGAAAACACTAAATAAGGGGTTAGGAAAAGTTTCAAAGGATGAAGATTCAAGTTCAGTATTGTCAGGATGTGACACTTAATATGATTATTCAAAGTAGATATTAAAAGTGAACACTTAAAAGTGAAAGAAACTATTTCAAACAACAATTCTGTGTTCTTAGAAGGAGAAAAAGGGTTGGTTAACTGGGAGGAGGGGTAGTTTAAATAAAAAAAAAATAGAGGCATTTTTATATTCTGGTTGGTGCTATAATTAATGGAGAATTGCTTGGATTACTTTTGTAATTTGGAAAAATGAACTCAAACAAAAGTTGAGGTTTCTAACCAATCTAGTGTCTCAATGACAGAACAAAAGATGCCTGTAAATTCAGAGAGAAGGAATTCAGTTGCAAATGGATGAAGCAAGCTATTCCCTGCAGCAAATGGATTAAGCTTACAGAACTCGCAAGTTGGCTTGTATTTAGGACGTGATTCATTATCAGAGATTCTTTCATATCAGTCACAGGTTTGTGAAGTTTCTTCAGGTCAGCTTTATATTTAACCTGCAAGTTAAAGGGGAAAAAAGAATTCATGGAAATAGAAAACGGACTAACTTAACATATTAAGATAGTCCACTCTGAAAAAAATGGTAATGAACAACCAAACCTCATTTACAGTAGTCACATGTCCTTCAAGAGATGAATGGAAACAAAATGTGGTATATACATATAATGGAATATAACTCAGTCTGGAGAAGGAATAAAGTTCTGATATAAGCTAGCAGAATGAATCTTCAAATTCAAGAAGTTAGAGATTATCAGGGACTGGGCCAAGGGAAAAATGGATAAATACTGCTTAACAATTACAGAGATTCTGTTCAGGTTGATGAATTATTTTAGAAATTATGGTAATAGTCGGAAAATATGGTAAGTGTATTTTATATCACTGAGATGCACACATAAAAGTAATTAAAACAGAAAATTTCATGTCACATATTGAACCACATTTTAAAAAAGTACCTCGCTGGCAAGATTATTAGCATCTTTCATGACTTTGTACAGCTGGCTGTCTTTAGGATTGTACTTCGGTGTTTTGCCCTTCTCTTTGTTGAAGTTTTCTCTGTATTTAACCTAAGAGCAAGTGCAAAGATGAGGATTGAAGAATGGAGGAAATATAAATGCAAAGGAATATATGTTATACACAAACTGGTTATATAATTTATTATCCAAACTAGGACATTTTCAACAGCAAAGGAGAGGATCATTAATAATTATTTTTAGACAACAGGCAATCGAAATAAGGTCAAGAGATACAGTATTTGTTTTGTTTATTTTTATATAACTCAGTGATAGGAAAGATAATCATGTAAAATGTAGCAGTTTGATACATATATATATATATATATATATATATACACACACACACACACACACACACACACACACAGAGCCTGAGGACATCTGCTCATTCCTAGTTCCTGTGTCAGATGGTCAACGCATGTATATTGAATAAAATGATAAAAGTGATGCATCTGCTTAGATTCGAGAAGTCAGAATCCTGACTCTTGCATGTTAGTAAGTTACCACAGGTGACTCAAGTATGAATCAGTCCCTTGAGGTGTAACTCTTACTGCCTGGGGAGAGTTTCAGTAGGATCTCACCAACTGATGTTTTTGTCACATGAAAATAATTACACACCCAAAACTTAGACATATATCCATAAATGGAAAAGTAGAGAATGAGAAAGACCTAGAGATATTAAAGGGAAATAAGAAAGAATATGCTCAGCACAAATTTCATGATACAACTTTTCAAAGTTCTGCAGGGCTATCCAAGTGGCATATTCATTCAATTCCTGCAAGCAATTTTAACGAGAGCTGCTGCTTGCCCATCTGCATTACCTGGCTGCTCAGCTTGGCTGCTTTCTTGGCCATTTCAATGTCTGGGCGACCAAGCATGCTTAGCCCATGGCTGCCTTCCTTGCGGTGCTTAGCTCTATACTCCACCTGAAACAAAAAGAATCAAAATGGGTGATACACTCTAAGTAGTGTTTTATATACCTTGTTGGCAGTGAGCAAGAGGGAACTGGTGTATTTTAACAACAGCCTTACTTCACTGGCCTGTTTGGCTGCCTGTGTTGCCTTCTTGATGTCTGGTCGATCGGCCACTGTGGTGTAGTGCAGGTTTTCTTTGGCATCTTTTTTATAAGCAACCTTTAGTTGGAGAGAAAAAACAAACAAACAAACAAAACAAAAACATGGCTTACTTGAGAGAGATGCTATCCTTCCAAAAGCCCTCATTGGGTACAAGGAATCATTTTATTAAAAACAAACCAATCCCATCACCATATTTTTTAAAACTACTACATATAGTAATTAGGGAGTCCATTCCCTGGAACCAACCCAACACGCTCCACTGACTCAGGTGGGCTTGTAAGAGTGTTCAGCGGAGGCACTTACATTGCTCTGCTTCTTGGCCACTTCCATAGCATGCTTCACATCTGGGGGTTCCAGCATGATGGAGTAGTTGGATTTCCCTTTTTCTTTGACAAACTTCTTTTTGTAATTTGTCTGAACAAAGCCAGAATTGTTTATGTGAACAGAGGAAGCTGGCAACAGAATCTATTTACTTGAAGAATTGTGAAAAGACCTCTGGTAAAAACACCCCCACCCTTGCCATTTTGGCATTGGCATGGGACAAAGCTCTCTGCCCAACACTGAAACTACACAGTAATTATTGCAAAATGAATTGTGAGTACATTAAACTTTCATTCGTCATTTCTACATTTTATAAACATATGAACCCATACAAGTTTCATAAAAAAATAAATCTATAAATCTATCTTTATTAAAGCATTACTGATTGGAGTGAAGTGGGCAGAGATTCTTGAGGTATAAAGAGGCAATTTCACTTCTCTAAAATTGTTTAGCAGTTTAATGACAGGGGGGTGAGCACTCTCAATCAGCAATGCTTCCTCCCCTGAGTAACACCAGGTTAGTGACTAGATAACATGCCAGGGGCAAGACCCACACTTGCCATATTGGGCAGTCAATGAATATTGAGTGTCTTTCAAACAAGAGTTCAAAATTCACATAGATGTATTGGAAGATAAAGGAAAGCATTTGTAAGTCAAAAGGTGGTTTACTAAGGTGCCTTTTGTTGGATTCTAAGGCAAGGTGGCATTACTGCTGCTGGGACTCTTGGGGCTGATCACTCACATCACTGACGTGCTTGGTCACTTTCTTGACACGAATAGTGTCTGGGGTCTCTGGTAGTGTCGTGTATGACCCCTGGGCCAAGTGCTTCTTGACGTAGTCCTTGTACTTGTTCTGAGGGAATTCACAGTTAGAGTTAACATGTCTGTGGAGCATGAGCCCAAAAAGGAAGCAGAGCATCTGGGTTGTTGAAGGCTTACCTCGGACACCAGAGAGCTGACAGTCTTTGCCAGAAGGATCTGAGGGGTGTCAGGCACAGCATGACAGGTTCCTCTTTCCTTGACATGTTTCTCTTTGTATTTCAACTGCAGAGGTGAGAAAAGTATTTCTTTAGCTCCTCTGGGTCTTTTGCATATTTTTATCAAGTCCCAAGTCACCAGTTAGAGCTGGGAAGAACAGTAGCATTGATACAGTGGGAATATTAAGCTCAACAAAACATTTAATGTTTGGAAATCTTGAGAAATATATAAAAGGGATTTTATTTTTTGTATGTTGAGTCTTTAGTAAACAGTTAAAATGGACATCACAATGACTATACATGTAACTTGGTTCAAAGCACTTTCAACTATGCTGTTTTAAGCCTCTCCCAACCCCCAGGAGCTATGAATATTCCTCATTTACAGATAAAGAAACTGAAGCATAGGAAGAAAATGATCTGGTAAAAAAATGAAGGTTTCTTTTGTAGAATCTAGTCAGGCCTTCCTAATTCTTACTGTGTGAATTATATTGTGGTGCAGAATAAATCATGAATGGTCATCTGAATGTAATAGCTTCTTACTGCTGCTACTTTGTTCTACCACAGCACTGTCGTTCACTGGGGACCCAGGTCATATTTCAGGACCCAGCTCCAAGCCTCTACAGCAGCAGCCCTGCTGTGTCTGTTCCTTGGGACAGTGTTGGAGAAGATGATCCTGCAACATCGAGGATGGGGCTGGATACTTACATCACTTTCTATTAAGGAATTCCTCAGAGCCAGCACCATATCTTTATCATCAGTGACAGAAAGCTTGCAACCCTTGAGGAACTCTCGGTCCAGCTTATATTCAAACTGTAACAGAATAAAGGAAGAAAAAGATGAAAAGGGTGACAGGTCCTGGAGGAAGTCAGTCCTTGATGAAACCTCTAAGGAGTCCTCCTACAGCACCATGAGGATTTGCCACCAGAATGCGGGTAGTGGCTTCCCAGACTCTCAGTATGTTGGGATTCTCCTTTGTACACCCCTAACCAGGACCAAATCTTCCCAGACTGCTCATTACTGTACTCTCCTAGCCTTGCTAGGGATTCGGAACTGTCTGCCTGGGTCAGCCCTCAGAGACCAGGCTCTGTGGCCAGGCGGGCTTCCTGACCTTGCGCTATGCTTCTCACAACCCTCCCATGCTTCTAGGACCTCAAATAGGGTTAAAATCTGTGACTATGATTATTATGAATAATTATTAATTTTTTCCTATCTCAGCTGTGTCAAGCAGTTTCGTCTCTTTCCTATCTCACATCGCTTTGTTGTAGGGAGGACTTGGCAGCCTGGATGAAGTCTGGTCGGTCAGGGATCCACTTCCAGTAGGCTTTGCTGGCTTCATACTGCTTCTTGTAGTCTAGCTGTTTTTAACAAGAAGAAAATAAAACACTGTATTCAATAGACGAAATTCAAAATAATACATGTGGCACAGAGAAACCCCTCTTATATTCTATCTAACATTCAACAAGTCATGGTTCTTTACACAAGAGAGAACCACAATTAAAATTTCTGTACAATGTATGCAGTTAGGCAGACACACAGAGATCATTTGGTGGAAATTTTTGGTTTCATTGTGGGAGCTATAATTTTCAAACACTAGAGGTGAAATGAGATATATTTAATGGTTTAATGATTTCCATACTCAAGTACTTTTAGTTTCTAGCTAATTTCAGATTTATGCTTCTTAAATTATCAAACACAGGTGATGTTTAGACGCTACCTTATCTTGACCCAACTTCTCCCTTCATCTTTTACTCCTATTCTTTGCTTTCCTATCTATTTCCAGCTTTTTAAAAAAAAAATTATTTATTTATTTATGCATACAGAATTAGGGTAGAACTGAGGTACAGGCCAAAGATGCAGGAGTGGTGAGAGGATACACCACAGAGAGAGTGGGGAGCAGAACAGGCTGACTGACAAAGTACAGTATTGATAGAGTGCCAGCTATTTTTCTAAGTGCTTTATAAATACTAACTTATTTAATCTTCATAACAACTGCAAGAATGGACAGTAGAGAAACTACACAGAAGGGTTAAAAAACTTGTCCAACATGATAATCATGGTGGAGATGGGATTCAAACTCAGGCAATCTGGTCTCATAAGTCTTCTGCCCTTTCTAGACTTACATCTGAGCTAGAGGACTTGCTGTCTTGAGCTAAATCTGAGGCAAGAAGTGTAGATAATTTAGATAGATTGTTGCTGGGAAGAACATCAGGTACATTTCTCTCCTCACTCTCCTCACCTTGCACACAGTAAAATTCACTTTCTTTTATATATGCTATTTGAAGAATTTTTCCTGATCACATGAAAATTCCAAACATAAACAAGAGTTACAAAAGTCTTACAGAGACTATTAAGCACACATTGCCCGGATACTCCAGTGTAGTTATTTCCTTTATTCTACATCTGTCCTGCTATCTAATTTTCAATCCATCTTCTGGATACCTGTGAGCTAATCTGTCAGTCCCTGAAGGCAGTTCAGTTTGCTGGTTTATTAAAAATATGTCCTCTGTGATACTAGTGGTTTCATTATATAACTTAATATCTTTTGAAAGGTCCTTACTCATCTAAATGAACAAAAATATGTCTGTAGTTGTGGATTTGCAATGCCCACCCGTTGAGTCAGCAAAGGGAAACTTAGCAGGAGGAAGATGTAGGCAAACTCCTGGCAGCACCAGGTGACTCAAGATTCATTTATTTTTAGAAGAATTAGGTTTTAGAATTTAAAGCAGGAGAACACAGAGGGTGGAGGGAGTGAAAGGTTCTAAGACATTTGCCAAAGGGAAATCTTCATTTCAGAAACAAGTCTCTTATTTCTCAGTCACCTGCAAAAAGGCTGAATATATAATATGAGGTGAAAGCAAGTTCTCTTCCCCATTTTCTTCTGTGGGAACCAAAGGTTACATTTAAATTTCAGTGTCCTTACTCATATTCTGGGGGCCCAACCCTTGGTTTGCACTCATTCACCAAAAGAAATTAAAAAAAAAAAAAGAATTCTTGTACCTAAATAAGATGAAAAGTCCCCAGCTAGGCTTATGGAAAATTCTGGCACTTACATTGGTATTGACTTTGTAGGCATCTTTGGCTGCTTTAATATGAACAGCATCTGGCTCAATGGTGCAGTTGGACTTATTTCTTTCATAAACTTCTTTGTATTTCAGCTATGTGAGGGAACATAGTGATAAGGTTATTTTTTTTTTCAGCTCTCTACCATGCATTTTTAAAAAATGAAAAATTAAAAACATGATTAAAGTATACTATGTTTCTCAAGACAGAATAGATCTATTGTGGAGATAGGATGCAACCATGTACTTTTCTTTCTCAGATCATAAAACCAGCTCCCCAGGTTACTTTTCTTTCTCAGATCATAAAATCAGCTCCCCAGGTTATATTGAGCATATTCACTACTATCCGCTAGGATTTGTCCCCTGAGCTTGTGGGTCAGCTGGAAAGTTATCCATGTGTATGTCTTCTTCCCCAAATCAGAAGATCCTGAATTCAGAACACCTTGAAAATGTTTCCCACCTACACCAGTTTACCCAGATGGAATTAGTCTTGCCTTCCTTGTAAGCCTTCACCATTCCATCTATTATTATGTCAAGTTGTAATTATTTGTTTATCCATACATTCTTTAATTAAACTGAACTCTTTGTAGGCAAAAACTGTGTATCATTCATCACCTAATTTCTAGAGTCAGGCACACAGAACCTGCAATTATTTGGTGAAAGAACGAAAGGATGGATGCAGTTAGCACTGTCATCCTGGCTAGTGCTGCATTGAGCAAGTTTGGGTGAGAGTGCTCTAGATGGGACTGGAGGAAGAGGAGTGCCCTCGCCACTGCAGCCTGACAGGTGCTTTCCCATCCTGGCACAGGATTTCTAGTATCACCCACTTTGCTACTCTTAAATTCCAGGCCCCCCACCTGAGCCGTCTTGCTAATCATTATGGAAGGATGCTAGATTTTAATGTGGCTAAATTCTAAGTAAAACTGTTCTAAAGAAGCCAAACTAGTATTGAAATTTGCTTGGCCTTAAGAATTGTAATTTTCAGTGCTTTACTATAGATCAAATAAATCAGTATTTCTAAACCTGGAAATCTTTATTTTTCATCAGTATCTCAAATTATTGGTATAGTCAGATTACTTGGGAAAATAGATGCTGAAATGCGTCATGTTTCTACCCTGAGAAGAAAAAGGCTGCTCCACATGAAGATTCTCCATAGAAGATGTTTATGAATATCGAATCTTTATGTTTGAAGAATCATAATTTATTTGAACATGAAGATATGAACAAAGCTTCATATATTTCTGTCCTTATAGAGCACTGAGTATGTAACATTGTTTCATGGTAACTCAAGGTCAATAGTATAAACACCTATGTCATTGACTAAAGAGTTCCTGAGCATAGACAAAAAATTCCAAGCTATCAGCAACTCTTTGGGGTGGAGATGAGTCATTTCATAGTTATCTTTATTATTATTTGTGTCATTCATGTAGTCATGGAATTCTTTAATATATGATTTTTTCCAATCTAAAATGATACTTATCTACCACAGAATTCAGCTATATATCTGAAAATTTATGAGTACAGTACCTTGTCCAATTCTGAGATTTTAGAATATACCTCAAGATAAAGGTTATAGAGTATTATAACATTTATGGTACGCCACATTTTTCAAAAAGGCCTCAACATTATCTCATACCCACAGGCTTTTTTGCAATGTGACCTAGCTAACTGTTTATCCAGATATGGCTTTGAACTCTTTTTCTCTAGAAAATGGGTATATGCTGTGCCCAGTAGAATGTGGCTAAATAACTATCAGTTCTAGGAGGAGCCATTAACTGTTCTGGAAACTTCTATCCTTGTCACTGAGAAGCCAAGAAGAAAGAGCACCAAAGCCATTCCATACTTACATCACTGACTTCATCTTTGACCTTGCGGACATGCAGCAACATGGGTGTATCATGGATTGTGGTGTAGCCTCTGGGTTTGGCCTTGTTGTATTCCAATTTATATAGTATCTAAAGGAGATGAAAAATGCAGAGATGATGCTGTGTGTCACAATGGACAATTTACAATGTGAAAATTAAACTTCAAAGAAAGGAAAGAGAATGTCACAAGCTCAGCAGGTGCTTAGATGCTTCTCATTAAGGCCCCAATTTCTCTCAATTTGATTGGGACAACTTTTCACTGTAAAAGAGGAGTCCAGAACATAGGAGGCTCTGGACTCCTGCCTCCTTCCCACTAAATGGCAGTAGAGTCTTCCAGACATTGTGACAATCCAAATTGCCCCTCTCCACATTAATAAAGCCTCCCAAGCTTGAGAATTCTTCATGCTTACATCACTGATTTGTTTGTTGACTTTTGTAGTACGAAGGTGTTCTGGAGTATCCACAATTGAGGTAAATTTGTCCTTTGATTTTTCATATTTTTTCCTGTACTGGATCTAAATTGTGGGAGAGGAGGACAAGTTAATTCTAGGAAGTAGAATAAAGGATTTTAAAGAATCTAATTTTCCTCTTGTGATAATCCCACAGCAAATGGGACAATCCCACCATTTGGTATGGGATTATCACATTAACTACAGAGGTGGGAGATGGTGCCTTTGTTATCTTCTAATCCTAACTGCATTGCTATTTGAATTGCATCTGGTGTTTCATGGAGTAAGCAAAAATAATAATGATGTAAATAATAATAAATTTTCCAGTTTATTTTGTACTCATGAAAAATGAAGTCCAGAGAGGCTAGAGGTTAACAGACTAAACTCAGGGTACATACAGAATGTATCTCAGCTGGAATCAGCTCCAGGCCCTTTTTCTATGAACACTGACAAGTAATGATTCATCCAGGATATGATACATTAAATATACATGTTTTCTTAAGGTATGTTTCCATATCGAAGATAAATAGACATAAAATAAAAAATTAAGGGCCCTCCTTAGTGGCACAATAATTTAAAGTGCAGCACTATGAAGCTGTCCACAGCCACTGCAGCAGGAGTTCAACTCCCAGCCAGGGAGGTGACCCACATAGCATGGCAGACCTCTCCTGACCTGCCCACTGCTCCCTCAGCAGTGTATTTCACTTCATCTGACTGCCCTGCTCTCCACTCTGTTTCCAGTGATTCTGCTCACCACCCCCATACCTCTGGCCTCTACCCCAGTTATTGTATGTATAAATAAATCTTAAAAAAAGAAGTTTATATAAAATATCATTTTAAAAATGAAATAATTTAATCATTTAAAAAATGCAATCATTCTTGTAATTTCCAAGTAGTTATTTTCTTCATCCACAAAAGCTATGTCAAGCAGTACAGATAAAGATAGCAGCACAATTTCATGCATAGCTATTTGATGATCATATTAAGGAAAGAAAAAAGTTCAGGCAAGTAGGATGTCCATAAGGAAACTTAATCCTCCCTCATTTTATGTGTTGATTTGATGTTAAATTTTGGTGATAAAGCAAGTTGCTAATATAAAAGATTGATTTAAAAATTTTTGTGGGGCCAATGGCATTAGCATTGCATCTAGCAGTTATTACTACTTTTCTTTGCTCCCACTTTACCTTTCAGCATGTGATGGAAAGGTGAGTGGGTGCTTCAGCTGGTCTTGTAGGAAGTAACATTGCTGACAAGTGTATATGTGAGGACAGATGTGATAGCAAATTTAGCATCAAATTCAAGAAGGGCCAAGAATATGTACAATATTCAGAGCTGCAATGTAATCCTAATCTCTCTCAAATGGTACAGTTGCAGTAATCATTCATCAGGGACAAATTAGATTTAAATACTAAATATTCAGACCTTTTAAATGTTGTTGAATCTACTTAGTATCCTCAGTCACTAAGGAATCTATGGAATTTATTTGGAGCAGGTATTAAAATGTGTACGTTTTGAAAAAGCCTCAGGCCATCTTACTAGGCATCCCAAAGGTGCCAGATGTCATACAGATGATGGCAACTGTATCATCACATTTGGCCACATCACATCCAGAGTTCCTTCAGAAGGAATGAATCCAACTCTATCATGTGAAACCAGCATGGGCAGGATAGGGGAGAAAATCAAGGGGAGCATGAAGATGAATGCTTCCAGGGTTTCTAAACCTCTTCTTCACAACATATCAGACATTACCTGGCTCCACATGTATGTGTTGTAGAGAGCAGTCAACATGTCTGGACGCAGAATTTCATTACATCCTTGTTTCAGAAGTATCTTGGCACTAGATTTATATTTTCTCTGTCCATGCAAAGAGCAGTGAAGCACAAAAGAGACTTATGAAGACAGAAGAGAACATGGCTCTATATGCTCATCACCTCTGAGTGAAGAGATGTAGGCACACACACTTTATGTCCCCACACATACAAGCAGATGAAGACACCAAATGTGTTATAATTCCAAACAGAATGGCTGCAATACCTGTGTCAGACCATAGTTCTTGTGAAAGGGGAATAGTTACTCTCACTTATATTTCCACCAAGTTGCCTTACAGAAAAGAAGACATCCGAGCAGTAAAGGAACATGGTAAGGAATATGCCTTCATTTCATCTATTAATTTGTTTCTCTGTTTTTGTTTTCACAACTTAATTTTCACTTTACAAACAGGCCCTCTAGAAGAAAAAAGGGTGCTTTCCCTTGCATCTTCACCCCAGAACGTATGAGGACATAGAGCATGAACTGGCACACTCAAAGAGCTCATGGGCTCTTGGAGTGGCTAGACAGATACTTTGAAACAAAACATCCCAATATCATAGGCAGAACCTATGACATCCTTGCAGCAGACATGACGACATCTCATGAGAAACGGGAGCACAGTCCTGCTGAGTCATCCAGCTGGACCTGTCATAGTACCTGGCTGATCTGGTCGCCTGCCATCTTAGCCAGCAGATGTCTAGGCTCATCGACTACCAGCTGGTATTTATCTTTCCGCTTCTCATAATCAGCTCTGTATTTTTTCTGCTCAAACATCATATCAAATTATAGCAATAGTACAACTTCAAAGCTAGACAGAATGTCCCAAAATAAATACTCCAGAGGCAAAAATATCTCATTTCTAGAAATGGACTCCCAAAAGCATCCCAGGTAATAGAAACAGGGAGGCAGAGAGTCTAGCAACGGAAGATCACCTAGAGATGAGCAGGGCTTGGGAAAAATCTACTTATGATCCCAAATTGGAGTACCTGTTCCCATCTTCACAGCAAGGTTAGATTTTACAGCATCTTATATTCTAAATAAGATACAGATGAATTGAAGGTTTATTCTCTATGACTGATGGAGTGAACAAAAAGCATGACCCAGTAGTCTTCTAATGCTAATTAAATTTTTTGATTATAAAAAAAAGAAATCCTTTTCCAATTAGAAAAGTAGAAACAAAATATACTGATAGTCTTCCTAGGAAGCTACTGAAAGTAATTTTTCAGAATCATCCAACCTGGAAATTTACTAAAAATGAACTAAATCAAATTTTCAACAAACTTCTTATTTGTGAAGTCAATAAGTATATCTTCATTTTTAGATGTACTTTACTCACTTTCTACAATGGTTTTGAATTAGTATTAATCTGCATAAAATTTAAAATTAGTAAATTAAATACAAAATGATCTAAAATAAGTAAATTCATAGCTTATTTCAGTTATTTAAAGCCAATTTTAACTTAAGTCATTGCAAAAACAGCTCCAGGAAAGAATAGGCAGAATATAAAGAAATATTTTAGGTACAAGTGGATACTTCTCTGCACTAGTTTCTGAGTAACAATGATAATGAATTTGAATGCATGGATCATCATCCCTTAAGTGAAGATTCTTCCAATCACTGCTATTTCTGTTGCTTAGTAGGGGATACTAAATTAACCTTGAATCATGGGATTCCAAGCTCCATACAATATCAGGTATAAGCGAGTTCGGTGGATAGTCAACAAAATCCTTTCCCTCCTGGTTCTCATCACCCAAAAGGCTGTATTGCCAAATGCCTTGCACGCATAGACAATGATGGCCATGGGGCCTCACACCTCTCTAAATTATTCCTTCACTTGTTCTTATTCATGTTTTTGTGGTGACATTACTAAAGTCTTTATAAAATTTTCCTTTGAATTAGCACTTAGAATGTCTTCCTGTGTCATTTTATATACTAGGATTTAATCAGATAACTATGGATTTGTTGAAAATATTGATAAGTGGATCAGGTCATACATACCTCATTCATCAACTGAGTCGCATACTTGAAATGCTGATTGATTGGACAATCAGCGACGTACTTGAAATTGGACTTTGTCCTTTCAAATATCTCTTTATATTTATACTAAAGAGAATAGAACATGGTTACTTGATAGCAGTGTGATTATCTTAAGAAAAGACATGTCACTTAGTTTATCATAAAATTGTAATCATTTATTCATTCAGCTATTAAGTATGTGCTGAGTCCTTGCTTTGTCTACGAGGCATGAAGGGTAGACACACTTGGATGCCTTGAAACCTATCCCAAAAATACATACTAGAAAGTAATTTCATTGAATAGATGTCTATAGATATATTTTCCATAATAAGCAAAATCAATCAATCAAATCCAAATCAATTTGTCTTTGTTTTTTATACTATAATGACCATCACTTTACCTTGGAGGTATTGCCATGTGGACTTGAAGGCCTACGTGGGTCCGGCAATTGAATATAGTTTTCCAGTATTAATTAAATTATCATAACATTTTAGAGTTGCGGTTGGCTAGCTATGTATTTCTTTTAATAATTTTAAGGGATTGCAACAAATAAAGAATATGTGACAAAATGAGTGTGGTACATGAAGTATAATTGCTACCTAGCACTTTTTAGAAAAGTTTGCTGACTTCTATTTTAGAACTCAAAGACATCTAATCCAAATTCCTTATTTTATAATTAGGAGGAAAAAAGCTATTTCCTCAAGTCATACACCAAATTTGCCTGTTAAAATAATCCCACTTAGTAATTGCTACCATATAACTCTTTAATTTCATATATCATTCAGAGGCATATTAATATGGATGGAACTCTAGAAGAGGCAAGAGAAATTGCATTGAGATGACTTTTCATCAAATTCAATGAGGTCAGTACTAAAAATTTCCTAAGGATAATGAACAATGTAGTCTCGATAGGATCTAGGAGAAATGCTAGTGATGGAAATATGAAAGTTTACTTCTTCAATGCTGAGTATCTCTATGAGTACTGGAATATGATGAATGGGCATGGCCATTTTCCTTGAGGAGATATACCTTGCTGTAGAGAGTCTTGTTCTTTTCAGCCAGAGTGAAGTCAGGAGTATCATAGGCATAGCAACCAATGCCTTTAAGCCAAGTCAGATCTTCTTTATATTTCACCTGGGATTGAATATCATCAGAGTGTTTGTAATCTATTTCCAATATGTTAGGACTTATACAAGTAGAATAAATAGAATCTCTGATAGATGAAGTATATAGAATGATAAAGTATTATAGCAATCACTGAAGATAAGCTTCCAGTAATACTGGTTTCTGTTCACTGTTTAGTGTATTGCTGATGGTATATAGAAGTTTTTATGTTAATACTCATTAAGGCAATTTGAATTAAACATATACTTTTCTAGAAAGTATATCATAAGCTTGGTAATTATGTTTTTCATATAAAGAAAAAAATTTCTGTCTAAATGAGCATTGTCAATAGTCTCTTCAACTAATCAAAAAGTTATTTCCTAGATATAGTACACCACTTTCAAACTGTAATATGATATCATATATTTTGAGAAAACATTAGATTTATAAATTTAATATTTTTTTTCTCTTTCCATGTTGTAGTTCATTCAGGTGGCAATGAGTTTTATGATTTAAACATCCATACACAAAATCTAAACTCTAACAAAGTGTTTAATCTGTTTTTATGCCATATTTGATTTCTGAAGTCATATTAAAACATGAATTTATGTTAAAAAAGATTTTAAGACTCACATCACTGACTGCATCAGTAACTGCCCGATGGTGGAAATGTTCTGGGCGATCAGGAATGGACCTCCAGATTCCCAACTGACTCATGTAGTTCTCCTTGTATTTGACCTGTGTTTAAAACCATAGTGGAGCTATAAAGTCTCACAAAAGCTTATGCACAAAACTCTACGTGTCTACAGAGTAGTTTAGGACAGGAAAAATTTTTAAAAATGCTGTTGGGTTATTAAGCCCAACACTAAATAGAAAGATGTAGGGACTGACTTTACTAATGTCGTCTGTGACTTTGCGATGGTAGACAATGTCCAGGGCATCCTTCACAGTGTGGTATTTCCCTTTGGTCTTTTGAAATGTTTCTTTGTAGCGGAGCTGGAAGAAGAAAAAGCACATGGATTATGAAAAACTATCAAGTTAAATAACTGCACTCTTTTAAGGTTAAGCTCTCTTGAACCGTCTGTGTTAGGCTTTAATCTCTCTTTAGTCTAAGGTCTCTTAAGAAAATTTTAAAAAACTATGTCATATCCTGAAAGAGAGGTCATTAAAAATAAAGTATTCAGTTTAACTAACAATAATGTAATGGTCCACTGCTTATGACAAATGTATAATCCGTAATGCAAGGTGCTAAGAGCAATGGAAACTGGGCAAATAGGGCTGTACTGTCTTTGCAACTTTCCTGTTAAGTCTAAAACTACTTAACGGATTTGTTTAAATGGAAAGCAAATAAAAGTTCACTTGGGAGGAGAAAAAAAAATACTAAATACAAACTTGCTGAGTCCAAGACATGCTAATATACATGGAAAGAGGAAAAAGACTGGGTTTCTAATGCCTAGTATTAAAATTCCTTCTCCAGGAAAGTCCTAATATTTTTCTCATTATCATCTTTATCTCTGTGGTCTTTCAAGAGACAATAGCCTCTGCCTTTAACCTACGAATATCATAGAAAATTCATTCCCTCTAACAAGATGAATACCTCTCTGGGTAGCTGACAATATTTTCTTTTTGAGTAGCTGAACAAATACATAATGAAAGATGTCTTCTTTGACTTGAATTTTGTTTTTCAGATGGTTAATCTCATAAAAGCATTTAGCTCTATTTGCAGGGACAGCCAAGGTAGATAAGCTGAACTTAATGCCAGATACTACCCTTGTTACATTGAACTGTTGCATTTTTATTATAAAGTTGTATTTATTTATTTTTAACTGAGGTAATACCTGGATCCCGGCAGCAGGTATTGCCACAGTAGTAAACCCACTACCAACCCACCATGCCCACGGCGCTTCCTTCCCTCTTGTTCTTACCCCTCTCTCCCTCTCCTAGCTCCAGATATTTCACTTCTCTAGCCAACTTTCAAGGGTTAGGTTTTAGTATTGTCTTTACCTAACCCTTCATTTGTTTTCTCTATATTCCACATATTAATGACACCATCCAATATTTATCTTTCTGCTTTTGACTTATTTCACTTAGCATTATCCCTTTCAGCGCCATCTACATTGCTGCAAATGGCATGAGTTTATCTGTTTTGATCCCTGAGTTAACTATGGAATCAAACTAAGTTCCCTAAAACAGATAAGTGGATCAAGATGTGGTGTATATAAACAATGGAATATTTCATCTAGAGGTTCCAAAGATTAGAGTTGTCAGTATTGATAAAACACTAGGGGCAGGGCTGTCCAGTGGGACACAATGAACCTGGAGGCCAATTTCACTGAGTGGCTACTTCAAAAAGTGGTGAAACAGAGGTTTACTTCCAGCAATACTCAGTGGCAATCTTGAAGTGATAAACCTGGGGACATCACAAAAAGCCTAAACATATCACCGGAGATGAGATTTTGAGGGTTGTGCATTGTTTTCTTAGCTTCTAGTTAAGTCCATTGCCATGCTTCTTTCTATCCTTCATCCAACTCCAAATAAAAATTTGGACAAAATCATGGCAGAGATATTCTGCCAATTTGCTGCACCCTTTCAATTTGTCGGTTTAAAGATCAATATGATACCTATTTAGAAGCCTTGATATCCTTGGGGTATGTTGCTATGTTGAGGGGTTATAAGGTGCTTCAGTTTTAGTTTAGGTTTATGTTCCAACAATTCCTCCAAAAATTCTGGTTCTGGTAATGAGTATGATGCATTTGAAGTTAGGCTTGGAGACGAAAAAGGACTGGCCATTAACCTGGGTTGACTAATGTCACAACTTCATTAACAGATAAGCTCATTACAATTAAAAGGCAGTCTAATTTTTGATCATGGGGTATGGAAAATGAAAGTCTGTCCATCTCAATTCTAACATATGTGTCATTTGCATGATTTAGGTGATTGAGAAAAGAAAGCAAAGAAACATTTCCTGAGTGTCAATTAAAAGCACAGCACACCATGCTAGGAATGGTATGTACATGACCTGGGTTAGCCTAGCAATAAATCAAAATTCTTATTTTCACCCCAATATAAGAAAACCAATTATGCAGTTCTGTAGTAGGAAGGTCATAACATATGGATATGAAATCATGTTCAACTGACTCTGAGACCATGATTTTATGGATAAGTAACAATTAGATGTCAACTATATGGGGAAAGGTAACAATGAATTACAAGAAATCCTTACTATTTTGTTGCCTAACTAGTACTACTTATAGGTGTTTTTTTTTTCTTCTTTTGTTGTGGTCCAGGACTTTAAATTATGAATATCATTATAATGACTATTAATGCCTTCTGTTTCTTAGCTAGTTCAGTTTTAGCTTTTTCTATCACAGCAGATGAAAGAAGGAAGGGATGCATACATCACTGGCGTTCCAGTAGGCTTTCTTGGCTCTGATGAGGATTGGTGTATCTGGAACTGGGGTATACTTGTCTTTCATCTTTTCATACTGAGTCTTGTACTTTTTCTAAGAAATAAAAGAAGAGACAGACTGACTTTAGTCCCAGTGTTCTCATCCTTCTCAATTCACAAGTGTATCACAAACCCAGCCAAGGGACACAATGTATCACACTCAGTCAGCCCACTCTGTCTTGCTGCTGCTGGGCCCAAGCTGTAGTCCTGCATCCTGACCAGAGGCAGCAGGTAGAGATTTGAAAAAGGGATTTTTTTTTTAGCCCAGGGCTTTGGTGCTGAATCCCCAATTTACCTCGCTGACCATGTCCTTTACATCTTTAGCATGCTTCAAAGCTGTGGTCTGGTTTCCAGCATGATGATGGGGTCTCTCTTTAGTGGCAAGTTCAACATACAGATACTAAATAATTGGAGAATAGGAATGAGATGTTATAGAGAGAATACATTATTTTCTAGTGTTTAAGCTTCATTCATTTCAAACCCTTAAGTAGGAGGATGGTGTCCATTTTTATGCTGGTGTTTCTGTCACATGTGTTTCTGATCATTTGTATCTCCCTTTGGCTCACTTTTGAACACATAGATACATTGCAGTTATTTAATATTCTTACTGCTGTGTGGTTCAATATAAATCCATGTGAGAAAGAATACTGACAGAAGAATGAAAGAATTCTGATAGGGCCCTCAACATGTGTTTTCCCCAAATTTCTGATTGAATGTATGTAAAATATAGTTTCATTTATTTGTGGAAAATAGGTCCCATGGAATGAGTCAAACAATTATTGTTACTACCTGGATTCCACAGACTTATCTCCAATGAACAAAGGTGTATAGTACTTAGAAAAGATGGCATGACAGTAATTACTCCTCTAAAACATGATGATAGTGATGGTGTATGGATGAATTGGTGGTGGAAATTTCACAGGGGAATCAAACATTGAATAGAAATGAAGGCTGCTATAACAAATACATTTAAAAAACATAATTTGATTAAAAAAATAAAACATGACCATAATTATTATGGCCCCAAAGAAAACTGCTTCTTGAAGTTAATGGGCATGAGGTTGTATCCAGGATAACTAAGTGATCAGACACATATAACAGCCCCTGTGATGCCAGCCTGACAGTTTCATCAATCTTCATTTGTGGATCTACCTGACTCTGAAGCTTCTGCCCTTGCTTGGCTCTTAGAAGATCAGGAGTATCTGGAACTGAAGTGAAGATGGACTTCTGCTTCTTGCCTGCAGCTCTGTACACCAGCTGGACAGAAAGTAATCATCAGCATCACATTGCTTTATTGACATGTTATGTTCTCTGCAGATGTTTTTGTTGCTTATTTCATAGAAAAAACAGGGACCCTCCCCCACAACTATTTCAGTTTTAAATCAACAAACCAATAATTCATTTTTCTCTTTAGCCCTCCTTTTCTTTCCCCCTCATATCAAAATAGAGATAATATTCATGCTTCCTACTGATGTTCATTCCCATCTCACCTGCTCCATCTAGGACCCTGTTCCTGCGAATATGTCCTTTTCCTTCATATCTTCAACCCTCCTGTTTTCACAGTTCTTTCATTTGATCTTCAAACAGCCTCGAGTCACTTGTAGTAACAGGTTAAATATCCTTACCTCACTCAGATGTGTCTTCAGTTCCTGCACTTTTCTGTATTCCGGAGTGTCAAGGACTACTTGGTACTTGTCACGCATCTTCCTTGCATTATCAGTATACAGGTAATTAGACTTAAACAAAAATGGAAATGCAAGTAGATTAATCACTGAAGCAGTTGCAAGTTATGGTCATAACATTTGTCTTTCAAATAGCTACCGTGTATGAGTTGAGCAAGTCCCCTGTATATTCTGGATATCTTTCCAGATAGGAACAAAAACAACTGCCATTTAACTCAGCTCATCTTCTTTCATAGGCAGTACAGATCAGCTTAAATGTGTCATAACTGATCAAGTAGGTTAAGGATAAATTCCCCCTTAAAAGTAACTGCAGGCGATGGCCACCAAGCATATGAAAAAATGTTCAACATCACTTGTAATAAGGGAGACGCAAATTAAAACCACAATGAGATACCATCTCACCCCAGTGAGAATGGCACATCTTAAAAAAACTAGCAACAACAAATGCTGGTGAAGATGTGAAGAAAAAGGAACTCTCCTGCACTGCTGGTGGGAATGCGAACGAGTACAACCAATCACTATGGAAAACTGTTTGGAGGTTTCTCAAACTTCTAAACCATATGGTGGGATTCCATATGACCCAGCAATCCCACTCCTATGTATCTACCCAAAAGACACAAAAACACTGATTCAAAA